CACTTTTAGACTCACCCTTAATCCCTCCACATCATTGGAAAGGTAAAAGGACAAGCTTCCGGTTCCGTTATATCTGTATTCACACATGAAATCAGGCGTATCGTTTTTCTCTCAGTACTCACTTTGTCTATTGAAATCATTCCCATGCAATTCCCATATTGCTGCAGTCAAGAACAGGATTCTTTTTAGAAAAACTGAGTCAAACCTTGATCCACAAAATGGATACATAATGATAAGACAAAAAACAATGCAACTATTCAAAGCCAACCACATCTTTCCTCAAAACCGCCATGTTTAGAAGTATTAATACGTATAATTTAGTAAAGAGAAGATTATCATTACTTCATGCAAAACTATAACTTATCGAGAAATGGGCATCCCTCCTTTGATACCATAAAAAAAGTCTCCCACTCCAGATTTTCTTTCTCGCCTCTGGGAATTAATACATACCTGACAAAACAAATAACGCGAGATTAACGTAATCAAAAATTGAGCGTAGAATGAGAAGAATGGGAAACCATCATCCGCTCGATCTCTATTTTTATTCGGTTCTTTCATGTTGATTCACGCACACCACAACAACACAATCAATAATGAAACTGGTGGAGCCAACTAACCAACCAGCCAACCATGATAACTTCTTATATCTGCATTTATAAGAAGAGCCACACAATAAATAAGTATAAGCCCGCAGAGGAGGAGGTATGCATAGCAGGAGCATGTAAAACTTGATAATAATCAAAGAATCGGATCGGACCAATGCATCTCATCATCACAGAAGAAAATTGGAAGTGTGAGAATACGCCAGGAAGAATTTTATATGAGGGAAGAAGGGTTGATAGGTACGCCGAGAGAAAAGTCATTCATTACATTATTCAACCATTTCAACGCGCATCACATCATCAAAAACATCGACAGTTTTTACAAGCAAGCAATTACAATCACATCACAATTAGCCACATCTCAGCCAACATCTATTGAAGGCTTTAATATCAAATTACGGTGCATAACCGCTAGTTTTCATGTATATTAGTTTTTAAGCAACCACAAAACACGTTTAGTATGACCCGATGAATAATAATGCCACTGGGTACCACCACATCCTATCCGGAGGATTAATGCCTCGATCGATGGTGAAAAAATATTGAAGCCATATTAATGTGGTGGTGTTGATGACGATGATGAGAAGTGATAAGCATTTACATCAATCATTCCCCCACAAATAATAAGTTGCGTAGCAGTCATAAGAAAATCATTTTGGTCTCATTCAATTCATAGGAAATCAATTGGAAATAATTTTTCAACTGATACATTCAATTACATTGAAAGGTTCTCGTCCTTTGTTTCGATTTAATGCAGAATCAAAAATTGTAATTAAAATTGTCGGAGAAAGCGTTATTGCCCTCCAATTCACAACTGTACGTTGTTCATACATTTTTACATGCATACACAAAATTACAATTTTTACTCCCACTTGGAGCAAGAAATTGTAATTGAGACGAGTCAGAAACCTTATAAATCTAAATCACTGTCAATCTCAAACATTCGTGAGAATAACATTATTTATATTATTGAAGTCTGGAATACAAGATGAGTGTTCCAGATAAGAAAAAGCGAAAAAAAGTTATCATTTTCAAAATATGACAGCACACAGGCAAAAAAAGTATCATTTTATGTAATTTGTGAGAAGCAAATTTGTGATGAGATACGCGATAAGTATAAAATGAGTCACGGACTTTACTGTACGGAATTGCAAATCAAGATGGAATTGGCCGAGAGTAATTTAAGGTACAGCTGCAATGTTAAAAAGTCAAAAGTATCAAGGAAATCCCAATACATAACTTTTCGCTGTGGTTTGGTTTGGATGGGAAAATGGAATTTCGACTTTTCAATCACCTCACACATATTACTTGCGACGACGACACAATTTAAAATCCGTTTACTAATACGAATGCAACAGTGCATAATATGTAGTTATTTTGCCATAATGTGCACATGAACATGCAGGTACAGTGAAGGACAGGCTTATAGTTATTAGGAAAAAATAATCTCACATTCCACCTCATTGTGTGTGCATCTCAATTTTAACTCTCATTCACACCCTTGCATGACACGGTGTTCATGAAGAACTGAACCTCACGATCAAGATCACTTGTAATTATAAAAGTTCATTGAAAAGGTGTACGCCAGCCAGACGAGTACATAGATACATTCTTAGAAAATGAGATGAAGTTTTGCACACTCATTTCGAACACGTTACCTTAAGCTCTCTACACAAGATATTTATGTATAAGCCGTCTTTCTTGTTTTGATCTCAAACTGTCTCTCGGGATTATTTCTCTTGTCGCGTTAAAACACAATTTGTAACGATGAAATGATGAAACATGTAGAATATGTGGAGGAATATGTCGCATACGAAAGTACCTTGAATTCTTTACCTGTCGGCATCTCTCTTCTTGTGTTTATTCCGCTTTATCTAATTCGCTGGTCTGATCGAATGTGACATTCCTTGCGAATTTTATCAATATAAAAAGTTTTATAATTAGTGTAACACCACGGCCTTTACGTTTATGTGTTAGCCGGATGCCGGGGCAAATAAGACAAGTAGTGAAGCGAAAAGAGTAACATAGTTCACTCGTTACCAATAATTGGCGTCATGCACGTCTCCACTCCCATGAACCCAGTTACTGATTTACATACATAGATGCACATTCTTCGCTCCGATTCTATACGTAAAACGGCTAAGAAATGCACCGGGATTCCGTGTGGATATCGTGAAAATCTCACCTTAGCTCAATAAGCTAATTTTAAATTTAACCATGACCATTCCAGGTTTTTTTACATGTCGTGATTTACCATACTTGGTCACGGCTTGGAAAGATAGCAAGTATGTATGTACATACACATAATGAAATAGTACAACAATGCAATACTAGAATTCAGCCAACTCTACCACCAAACACCAAACGGTACTCAACGACGATGTTACACAATATGTACATTACGGAGGTACAAGTATTCCCAAACCAGTATAAGTACTGAACAATTACAGATGTGCTGCGATACTATGTACGTACTAGGACTATACCATTACAATGTTACACTGTGCAGGTGACACTTCATTCATTCATGATCACTATTATTTTTCAATCATGACTCCAAGTGCATTGCATCCTAATTATTGTCCAACTATACAATTTCTTGTACATATCATCCTGGGTCAAAGTGAGTGAGGCTTACCCAACACGAAAAACAGAACCTAGGCTGCTAATTCACCCGTCACTTCCTCACAACCATTTGCCGAATTTTTCTCTCTCTCCTCTGCTAAAAAATAATTGTACAGGAAAGTAATGGTCAATTAAATGCATGCGTTCCTCTCCTGCTGCTGGCTCGAATCGGCTTATAAATATGTTCTTATTTTCTCAAGTCTCGAGTCCCGAATTATGTATAAGACTGATAGTCATTGAAATCATGAATTAGCAAATTCCAATTTGAAGCATACATTGTAATAATATGAATAAGCTTCACTACCGTTTCCCGTTCACGTCTTACTAAAAGCTTACCCAAAAGACTGCCCAAATTGCGTAATGGTTATGGTAATAAGTGGCTATTAATTTGGCCAGTCACACTCACTATCATATGTAACTAACAATTTAAATTCACCGACTCTCTCTACATACGTATACTCCATATATTATAGCATCACAATTATGTATATGATGTAGCAAATAGTAAAAGTACACCCTCTCTCTCTCTTTTTGAGGAAGGTAGTAAAATTTTACGAGAAGTAGTCGATTCAATTATTACGTAGACATCGCATCGTAATAATAAAAATAATAATAATAATACGAGCCTAGGTGCAAGAACAATGATCACTCACGAGTGAACACCCACGTTACGGGACAACATCAATGTCAGGGAAAAGAGTCAAGTCCGTCGACACTACTTTGTTGTAATTTGCTTCGTCGTCATTTGCTGATCCTCCTGAGCACAAAAAATTCTATTAACTTGAACTAAAGTTATGGGCGGATATACATAGTCGCAGGCAAGTAGATAAATTATTGTGAAAGCTGGTGATCACGATCTCCCAAGATTTTTGAGAAACCTTGTTAATTGCGTCGGTTCTATGGCTGCCTAAACTTACTCCCTTGCAACAAAACCATAATAATAATGCAGGAAAGAGGATGATAACCGTCAAGTCAAGCAAGAGCATTTTCCCCTCCTTAAATCTGATAACATGATTCGTGTAATAATCCAATCCAATTCTTCTCTCCTTCCAAAATAGACTGGATTCACATGAATATGAGGATTAGATGAGGATACAATGATATATAGGCTTAAATTTATAAAAAGTACGGCTTATAATAACCTCCTGGTGGTGCTGGCTGCTAAATAAATTCAGTTCTCCCATCATAATAATAACCTAACTTTGCCTGGTTGTTGGGCATGATTGTCAACAGGGGAAGAGATGGAATGAAGCTCTCTTTTTTCAATCCTCACGTCGAACGGTTTCACTTAAATTGTGCAGAGTCAACATAAGAGGGTTAATGAAACGATTAAATTAAAGGTAGCATAGCACACAACAACACTGCACCCACCTAAAAAAACACCTCCATGCAATCAGAGTCGGAATGAAAATGCAGTTTTATGAATATTTTTTAAGTGTATGATACAACAAGTGCATTAAGTAATCGTGATATGATCAAGAGCCATCATCCATCTTTGTGAGAGTTGCTCATGAATTTTATCAGTCCAAATCTAATGAGTGCATCGTGTTGCTATACTTTCCCGTTCCATAATAATGCAACTAGTCTACTAAATGTATATAGCTTGAACCTTAGAAAATCCGAAAATACACAAAAAACAACTGCATTCACACATTACATACAAGGAAAAACTCGGCAGGAGGATGGCATGACTATTCTCATTATAAATAAAATATCATTGCACTGTGTGTTGCATTGTTGTCTGATTGTTGGCATTTCTTCTTCTTTTTACAGAATGAGATTAACGATATTATCGTGGGGATTCGTCAGCTTGGCGTGCCTAAGCTTTACTTCCACCCTCACCAGCGGGCAGAGACCCTCTGCCTTGTCCGGCGGCGGAGGTCTAAGACCTTTGCTGGGACTGACGCTGAGACAACAACTTCAAGCCGGACAACCCCCAGTCCCCAGATTTGACTGTAACGCGGAACACACCGGGTTCGAGTTGGTGACAGGATTCGTCTTCTCGTCCCCGGCTGACCTGCTCGACTCCCAACCTGGAACCCTCATGTTGGCTGATTGTTTGGAGGCATGTCGATTGAACTCATCGTGCAGGGCCGCAAATTACGAAACCGGCAAGCAACAAAACGGATAAATAAGTCGCTAAAACGAACTATTTCCGTCTTAAACTAACTTATTATCATGTTCAACAGGTCTGTGCGTCTTGTTCTCCGCGGATTCAGATCATCGACCAGGTACTTTCTAATCTTTATCCTAAATAACAATATTTGCTTGGAAAAGGACAACCTAGGGATTACGTAAAATGACATTTCACTCGAGAGGAGAGAATGATGTTACATGTTCACTTTCTCACAACAAAGCAAGTGTGAACAAGACGGAGTGAAGCATGTCTGTCAATACAAAAAATGAAATTGGCAAATACTGTTATGCTTAAGAGATGAGAATCATCATCAGCATCATCATCATCTTCTTGCTTTAGTATGTTTTTTTTGCTTCTTTGTTTTTAGCTGCATACACACAGATAACAATAAAATTCTCATTTTCTCCTACCGCAAAGGATTTATTGGTTATCATCGCATTCTACGTTGAAGTATGTGATCACGTGCAGTGTCAACATCTTGGATATTTTTAAACGCGTCAAAGAGATTTATTTGAGATTCTAAACAAAGGAATGCATTTGATTAAATATACTCAATTTCCCGTTTAATCATCAGTTCCGTTGTGTAAAACAAATTCAAAAGCATCGGCCTCTTTAAATTATTTTACACGCATTTTGCGTATCAGACAAAAAACTTTTTACTTTTAAGAGAGAGCCTTCTCCTCTTTAACTTGTTAAATTGCCCGTAAAAGATAGTTCACACTTCAACCTTTTACACAGCAACAAACATATTTCAGTTTTGATTGGATTCGATTTGCAAAGGGGAGAAAATTCCTACGTTGAGATGGGAGCTCTTTTGCTTCTAATTAGAAGATAAATTGCGCAAAGTTTGGTCTCGTGTTAGTTTTTCTACCAGTTTCCTTCATCTGCTTATCCCTAATAACAAATTTTTCACCGTTCAACCAATTTAGTCACTTTTTATAAGAGTGCGTAATTAATTGGGGAAACCAACCAACCGACCAACCAACGTGTGCAAAGTTCCAAAGTATACACACACACACGCCACTTGATATTCCGTTTTATTACGATTAAAATTATATAATTACTCACACGGGCGAATGGTATGAGTTATATTTTCAAATATTTACGGGAATCGTAATCATAACAATACCCAATCATAACAAAATCATAACAATGTTCACGTAGCTTTGATAGGTAGCACACTCATTATTGTTGTACATTCCATTACCTCATCGAATGTGTGGCATGGTCATACAGTTTCCTACAAGTATTTATTTATATGGGTCACTTATCCCAAGAATTTGTGACCTAACTAAAAAGTCAATCCTACTGATGCCGGTTAGTACATATTAGAGCAGTGAAAATTGTGTTAATCCTGCTCTATGCTGCACACCTAATCTATCATTGTTTTCTTCTTTCGCCATTTCATGGGAGAATTAAAATTAAAGGTTAGTTATGCTTTGGGCTCCTTTTGTTTTGCGGTTTCCAAAAGCTTCTTCATCAAGAAGAGGGGCATAGCAGATATTTTAATTCCATTATTACTGCAGCATTACGTGTAAGTACATGAGTATTACACCACAACACCACGGATCTGATGAGCTAGGCTGCCTTGTAACACTCGTTTAAATCGTCTTGGCCTAGGAGGACACGACTTTTAACTCTTTAAGCAGCCACATCATGAAATTACTCGAGTGCATGTCTCCGTTATTAGGTTGTTGGCTCAACATTACGTAATTAGGCTAGTTTTCTTTTAAAAAAATCTGAGATTTACCATCACAAAATATTCAAATATGTGGTTTTAGACTTATCAGAATTTCCCCCCTACTAATCACTTTTCATTGTACGAAAGTAATACATTATCCTCACCGTCGTCACCGGTGGGGTAGAAGAAGACAGTCTGCTGGGTTTCTTTCTGGGAGAGGAAGTTAGTTATGTAGGTTAAGAGTATGCATGACAAGGAATCATCCTCATTCCCATTGTCAAACTTTAAACACGAAAAACAGAGCTGCATAATCAGGGATGAACTCCTCACGTCATGAAGAAGCTTGTGAAATATTGTCTCAACTGAATAATTGGAAGGAAGGAATAGGACAACAATAACGAACAGTGTAAACATTGGACAGCTCATTACCGAAGGAATTTACACATTTTGTGCTAAACAAATGCGACACTTCAGCTCAATCCTATCCCACCCAATGATCATTGTATTGCTCAACAACGCTAAACATGTTACCGACACCAAATCCTAGTAAATGATAAATGCCTCGTTCGTGATTCTGACCCTCACAAAGAGCTAGCAGGATGCACGATAACACAAACAAACAAACTCTTAAATTCAGTGAAGGTGCTATCGACAATCGGTCAACGTCAAAGCCAATTGATCATCAAAGTGGATTGTTGTTAGCTCAAGTGAAGTTGCAACAATTACTTAATCTTCTTCAGTATCAACATATTAAGACATTTCTTCTGACAGCAGTCAAACACTGCCTGCGCGAGCGAATCCTCCTGTCGGTCCGTCTGCCGCTCGTGGCAAATAAATCATGCAGCTTTGACTTGCAAGTTAACAAACGGACGCGTCCGTCAATTTGTTATGTACATACTTGAACCACTACCTACAAGAAGTCAGTCAGAGCTACTAAACATGCTGAATTTGAATTGCATACTGATCTAAAGGCACGACTAAGATGCTGCAGCCGTCGTGCCAGTAGTCCATGATCATGATCTTTTAGATGAATAATTGAGCACGGTGATAAGGGACCCCCTGAGTTAGGGACATGATGTAAGGCAAACAATGCGCTTAGACAGAAAACAATATCGTCGTCTCGTACTACAACATACACGCTATTCCTTCTTCACAAATAAGGAGAAGAAGCACGTCGTTGGAAAGTCAAGTCAGCAGCAACACCATTAATTGCCACCTCAGTTGTCTATCACGCGTCACCTGCATCAATTGGCGACATTGCGATAAGTAACGGATTATTTGTCTTACAACAATTAGACAATCTGATCAAGTTAGGAATTTATTTACTTGTTACAAGTTAATTAAGCTGTGAAACGATGGCATGCATGCATAATATTATTTCAAGTTATGTATATCATTATTACTAAATGGTTATACTGCATTGTACCCGTATTAAAATGAGAGTAGCAATTCCACGGTAAATTAGAACGTTAATTGAGTACTTGCTCGCTGGGTAAATAGTAATTATAAAAAAAATTTACATCATTTATCCATCTTCTTCTTCGTTATCTTAGGTGTAGCCAGACTGTCTGTAATGCCATAAGAGAGAATTGAACATACTCGTAAATTTCGAGATGTGCATCGTCAGTCAGTAGTAGTGTGAGTGGGTAATAAATTATGGATGAAAAATAAAGGAGCGTAAGTTTTCCACACCTCCTCCAAACATCCCATCCTCTTATTTTAAACTTTTGCTGAATAGGTAGCAGCTTCGGGTCTCACTTAATTCCACAGTGTGCATTTTAAATCAGACAAATTTCAAGGTTGGGCGAAGCTCGAGTCTTAACAGGAGTGAAGAAAGAGATGAGTTTGGATAATTAAAAATCAACAAGATATTATATCAGGGCATGAGCTTCAATGTACGTATAAACAAGCCTCCCATTCTTTTAATATCATCAACAAAATCATTTACCATCGTAATAAGCTTTTTTCTACTCATTTTTCCCCATTCCTGAACCAGTATTGAAGACCGTGTTATTATTACACAATGCATTTTGCATCATACATGTATTACATCTGAATATGATAAAGTAACTGCAAAAAATCCGGCTTTAGCACTGCACTGCTTCACCTTTTTCATGCCTACACACTGCTATTGCTCATTACAATCACAATTACATGCCCCCGTCCATTTCCTATTTCCTTTGCAGCATACATACATACAAGACAAATCCCGTTAATACTGAGACCTATACAGCCAATTAGCCAGAGCAAGAAGAAGAGCCACTTTTTTACACGTGTGTGTCTATGCGGACCATAATAATAAAAATGATGGAAGAGGACAGAACCTCCTCCCCCTCTTTTTAGTGGGAGCTTAGAGATGTGCACGTCAAAATTTTATTGCGAGAGTTAGAAATATGAATGTACGTACGTATGGTCCATCGGATCTGGATTGCCTTGCATGTTCATTTACTTTTGGCGTTTTGGTGATTTTTTAATACATAAGTATCACACGTACATATTTACCACGAAGGAATGACGGCTCTAGTCAGTCAGTCTCTGACAAGTTCTCATCATCATCAACAATATGGGAACTAGTTGTAAGGATGCATCTTGCCTGGCTATTCAATTACGCGTACTTTATGAATGAATCCATTTTTTAATGCCACCTACGAAATACATGTTGAATGGATTTCTTCTATCATAACAATCAGTGATGAGAAGCAACGTGTTTTCTGTCCAATTGCCATTGACACTCGGATCATTACGAAATCTCTCAAGTTCATTGAAGTTCAATGCCGAGTGTAATAATTCTCTGTGTTTTTGGGTGGTAATAACAAGGGAAGAAAACTGTGTCGATATGATATATAGTTTAAAGTTCAATCAAACTTTATATCATTTAGGCCAGAATTAGGTGGATGGAATCCATCCGTGGTTTGGGGAAAGAAGAATTGCCCAAAAACTCGTTTTTATTATCGATTCAACTATTTTGCTAGTTTTTTCCCTGTGAAATATCAAATTGTGATAAAAACTATCAGGATGAATAACAGCACTTGAGAATCTAGTCCTAAGTAGGTATCATACATAATAAATATGTGATTCACCTCCTTTAGTAACGCAACGAACGGACATATTACCACACTCATTATTATCTAACCTCCGACCTCGGAGCGATGGGCAATAATCCGCTGGCAAAACCAACTATGGACTTAAAACCAATGAAAAATTAGGTATATCAGAAATTAGGAAGAGATTACCACCATATAATAAATATATTGGTACGAGTGAGCACCAACTTCCGGCCATTATTATCTCCTCTCGCAAATGAGACCGGGCAGGCAGCTTATCAAGTTTAATTGATAACTTTGTCCTCCCAAGAAAAGTATTTTATTCCCAGCAAATAATAAACAATCAACTTAACGGTAAAATTCCTAGTTTCATACACGCCTGCCACTTTTTGCTCATGCATTGCATTGATGGTTCGGTATGACATTTCCTGCGCGATGAAGTAACGATTATTACTAAAACACCGTATTGTTGTAATTGTTAATTGAATTAATTTCGAATGTAAATCAAGGAAATTTTTTTAAAAATACGGTAATCTAATCTATGTAGGTAAACAAGTATTATATAATCGGTACGATAGATAGCGATCCCCTGATCCGTTCCAATAATAATTTCATATTTATGAGTAATTTATGTACATAGATTAATTATAATGCTTCTTGGCAAGGAATAAATTTGGAAATCAGAGCTAAATATGTAAGTAGTAGGAGAACCTTGAAAAATTTACCTGACATCAATATCACCAGAAAACCAACCAACTTTTGCAAAACCGCAGGAAAAAAATTTGAATGCAGATTATAAAAAGGAAGCTTAAAGGAAATGCTAGATAAATGAAACTTGATCCATAATAATCAGACAACATTATTACCATCTTGTTTTCGATAGACAGGATGACAATATTTGTATCCACCTTGTTGTTCAGTTATAAGTTAACAACCTAATCATAATACGTTCAAAAGAGTACATATTTTAGGATCCACTCAACTGAATGAAAAATGTGATTGATATGCAACCCCCAATTTATGCGTGTCTTAAACTGCATTCATCAATTTTTTCTGGTTTTCAAAACATGAGAATTTGAGACAATTCATTACAGCGTTTACTGAGTATTCCCACATCTTAAAATTCGCGATACCCTATTTACTCTACAAACTAGAAAAATTCGCACACACCGTCAGTCACCCTTCTAAAGTTTTAAAATCAGGACACGATTCAAACAATGTTATATAATCCTGAGCAACCAAGTTACAAATTCCTATACGTATAGATATATGGATACAAATGCGCCATCGCATAACAAGTCTGCATACTTGAGACACACAATCGGATCGGATTCAAAGGATCAATTTACGAGAGAGAGCCAAAAACGAGACAGAAATCTCATGTTGAGCCATGACCCTCTGTCACTGTCAGCTAACTACTTTCTTTGTTAACTAATGTGGCACTAGTCTTTCTTCAACAACTTACTTAATTCCATTCTTAGCCAAACGTAAGAACTTAGTTTCAAGCGACAGTTTCGACTCCATTACCAGAGAAATCTACTTATTTCGTGCATACCTATCTATTTACTGCTCATCATCTCGTCATCTTGGCAATCAGGACCTATTAGTAAATAGTAGAAGAAGATGAAGCACTCATACAACTACCTGTTTATTTAGTCGCAACTTCATCTAGTTTACCATGATTTAGTCAAAATCGGTAGAAATCTGATCTCTCAAATAGTAATGTACACCTACATACCTATTTATTTAGATACACGACCGTGTTGATATATTGTTTTCTAAAAGGCTCGACAATTTAGTTGCTTTTGCCATCATTAAGTAGATTGCAGATGCACTTTTTGCATCCATTATACCGCATTAATCTATGGAGGCGCGGGTGGTGGTTGTTTAGGTTAGATAAATACGTCACCAGATACATAGAAGGACCATCTATCGAATCTAGAGTTTTGCCATAAAACAATTTACAATGTCACAGCCGCATGGGCACAGACCAAAAATAGACCTACTTATTTTTCTACATCGTGCCATACTACGTAGGCACCATACGCGATTACCCATTTTCTGGTTTGGCTTTATCCACGGCAATCATCATGTCTTGATGAGAACTAAATAATGATAATATTGCCATATTATAAAAGGAAATTAATATTATGTTTATTGGCCCAGATTCAGCGTTATTATATTATTAGCCAAAGGACATACTGCTGCACTTTCATTGTATCCCGTTCAAAATGGGGTGGACACTTTTCCATTCATACGTGCCACCCATAAATTACAAGTTAAATTCAATAAAAATGGAACCTGTTTTAAACACGTGTAAAAAGAAAGCTCTTTCATCGTACATACTTTGCATACATGCATAAATGGAAATGACATGATTTAAAATTCGGATCAGACAATAATAACGTCACAGGAAAAAAAATGTGTGTCAAACATACAAAAAATAATAATAATCAATTCACGGCAAATTAATTCACGGGACGACGGCACAGCAGCATTCATAATCGTATCAAAAAGCAAGGCGAGAAATGGTCTAGTGAAGAATTAACATTGGTGCATTTTTTCACCCTCCGTCCAGCTAGACTAGAATGCATCTCTGAATTGTTGTATGCCTAATGTTTATGTAGTAAATCGCAAATGCACCAAAATAGCAAGTCCACGTCCAACAACAACAACAATACATCATCACGACAGACAGACATGAAACGAATTTGGTTGCAGGATGATGATGACGGCATGCCACATTATTAGTGGATTTGCACTTAAATTCAATTTTCATTTTATTTAACCTAACATGTTGTAAACCGGGCCACCATGAATGAATTGAGTTTCGTCCCCTGTTTTACATGGTGGTGTAGTAGGCAAACTAAAAAAGCTATCCATTTCTATAAACGTACTTATTTTTCATCTCTCTCTCTCTCTCCAACTAAACGAAACCTAGATTACGAGCAATTGTTTCACTATTTTATTCCCCTGAATGCAACAAACTTGTTATACAAAAGGCATAGTCAGTGGTAGCAAACTGAGTGACTGCACCTTGCACAATCACCAACCGCAGCCAGGTAAACAGCTTTAAATAAAGTGTCCCTTTATTTCTTTCCATACAGTAATTGGATTTTTTATGCCGAATCGGGTTAGGTGACCACCTGGTTCTGAGCTTGGCATCTGAATGCGACTTCGTGGCAGGCAGTGGTGCCTCTACATAAATGCATAGATAATAGTACCACCACCACTAAACCAACCAAGAATCTTCTTGTCAATGAAAGTCACGTCAAAGATGCTGCTGCTGTGTTTGCATGGCTTGTTGCTTCTTCCTTGCTGCTTTGGGGAAAAGTATGATGATTTGAATAAAATAAATAAAAAGTAGGAAAACAAAAAGTCTCAATTTTTTATGAATACATAAGCAAAATTTGTCAAAAGGTGCACAATGGGGGTGTAATTTTTTAAGGTTGTCCATCCTCTGAGCTAATTGAATTGTGTGTCAAGTCAATACCAATTTTTCTTTCATTTTTTTCTAGGAGCATTGAGTTCTAGCCAATTCCCAGTGTTTACCCTGTATGCGCAAAAAGTCTGTCTGAGCGGACATTGTGACCGGGCTTGGGATTATGAACGGGTAAGTATCCTAGATAATTCATGATGATTATATAAATGTTCTCATTTTAATTCTATTTATAAACAAATAGGTTCCGGATTTCAAACTCAAATCCAAGAATATGGCCAGCCTTGCAAAGAAGCAGAGGAAGACTGGGAGCCGAACTTCATGCATGGAACTTTGCCTTTCGGAACGCGACTTTGTCTGCAGGTGAGGAACACGACTAATGAGTTTGTGCAATTCTATTTAACTCCTCGGAAGAATCATTGATTGGCATTGTTACCTGGCTCAACTCGCATGAATTTACTGTGTATGTCGTGCATATATTGCATCCTTTTATTACGGGAGCATTTTTCACTTGCACGTCGGGGTCCTCTAATTGGAAGGAATAAATGATGAGCATAAGGCAAAAGTCTGAAAAGCTTTTGAATTCTTTCAGACCCACCAAACAAACTCATTGAACACATTAATCAAACACAACCATGTCACATCTTTCATCATTAGCCCACATATGACTCTGGTGATACAACAGCACTAAATAACCGGAGAAATCATGAGGTTACTACTTTAATTCCCAGGCCCTTCAAGTTGCTGCACCCTCGTAAAAAAAGTGCATGCTGCAATGGATTGGATATCACGCAGAATGCATGAATTTCTCATAATTAGCAAACTTCTAGGCCAGTAGAGTAGAGTGTGGACCATCTTTGTGAGATGTGGCATTTTATACTTTACTAGGAGAAAAATGGAGCCTGAGAAAAGAGTTGCAAATTAATGGAACTAAAATCATAATGATGGTCAAGGACAAGATATCTTCTAGTTAGGACAATCGAAAATGAGCTCAATATACATAATGGTTACCAACTTTTTTGCACTTTCAGTGCACGTACGGAAATTTATACCGTGATCATTATCCTATAATTTTCACCGTCTTCTTTTCTTTCTCCTCTTATCGTGCAATTCATTCTCAATAATATAATAAAAGAAGTAAGTAAATGTGCTACGAGAACAGCCACATAATTTCCATTTCAAAGTTCAATGTGTCGAAATGCGTTTTTTAAAAGAATTTTCTGAATAGAAATTTTGTCAAGTGTGTAAAATTAACAGTTACATTATTCTTCAGGTATCGAAACCGAGTGAAAACAATCCCATAATTCGTGCGATTCTTGTGGTTAGTTTGAGCAGAATTGTATGTACACGCTCTACAACCTGTGTCAAATAATGTGATCCATATAATTATGAGAGAGTTTTATATAAAATGTTACAAGTACCGGTTTTTAAACTGTAAAGTTAAATTCGACGTAAAAATACGATTAGGGCTTCCCACAAGACGGGACAGTCTTGTCTTGTCTTGACAAGACGGGATAACAAGACGGGACAAGACGGAAATTTACGTCCCGCGTTTTGGCAAGCAAGACGGGACACGGGACGGGACAAACAACGTCTTGTCCCGTCTTGTCTCGGCAAGACGGGACGTCTTGTGACAATTTAAATATGATAATTTTGTCTCAGAATTCATTAAAATTTAATTTAAAACTTAGCACAACGGTGTAATTGTTCAGTAAAATATAACTTGAGTGAAATTGTAACTCCCTTAAAATGGAAATTCGATCGAAACGAATCATCGAATATTTTTCGGATAGCTTTATCTAATCCGTTATCATGAAATAGAATTTAGAAGTTAGAATTTTGTGTACACTACGAACATGAAGTCAAGTCTTGAGAACATAAATTTCCAAACAAGCAGTTTCCGATCAAACCAAAACAGGTATTTTTCCCTCTCCCCTGTGTAATGTGATTTTTAGCAGTCGAAACCTTGGTTAAATTATTCTGTAATTAGTACAAACAATTTGTATCATGGATCCTGAAGCGAACTTAAATTTTGTGAATGGATTTAAATTCAACCCTTTTAAAACATATGCGTCCCGTGTCATCCCGTCTTGCACGGGACGGGCAAGACATGACGGGACAGCTTATCGTCCCGTCTTGTCTTGATATTTCGTCCCGCAGATTGTAACAAGACGAGACAAGACGTATAATCTTGTCTTGTCCCGTCTTGTGGGAAGCCCTAAATACGATAATGAGATGGAATCTCTCTCACTCAATGCTATGTCAACTCTGAGTTTTCCTCTGATTTTGCATGTGTTGACGGATAAGATTTATGCATCTGCAAATATTTACTGTGCAGACGATTGAGTTGCTTAGAAGACCGGACCAAGATTAAATAAAAGCCATTCAATTTACATTCTCGTCATCATCTTGATCATCAAATAACACCAATTAGACAAGTATTTTTATTATGCAGTAAAATGCAGTTTATGTACTATCAAGCAGGAGCCATATGTAAATATGTTATTGTCCATTATTCGTCCATCCATCATTTTTTTGGCATTCGAATCATTCATATCCCCACTTCTTCTGCCATCATACGAAAGAATGCAAGGCTGTGTCCCGAACCGTTGAAATGATATGATATGTGCGCATCATTCTTAAAAACGACAAGTGACGACTGCCTGTCTTGAGAGAGTTATAATATTTATTAACCGTTCCCTGGCTGACTGACTGCAGTTCTTTTTTATATAAGAGACATGTATGGCATGGACGTCAACCGGTAGAAAAATAATGATGTGCATGATGCCTACTACCCTTATGATATATATGCATACACGTTACACACACTTGCTAAATAAATGTTGAACATAATGGGTTCCATTAGGTACAAGATCAACCTAATAAAGGGAGGAATAGATAATAATGAAAGCATACTTGTAGACACATCAGACTCATTAAAAGTTATAAGAGTTCAGAGCTTAGTTATTTCCCATTTTAATATGCATTGTTGTTGCATTAAAATAGCCAGAAGGAAGAAGAAGGAACACAGAGGAACATGCTCATTTAGAAAACTTTTTTCATTTCCAACTCAACTTTCGAGAGTGGCATGCGTATTGTTTGTTACATTTATATTACTCACTCGTAAGAAATCCAGATTGTCCGCACCCTATAAATTAAACTCGGTGTAGGATACACCTTTTGAATACACCCTTTGGTATAGTTTATCCTGCAGGCTTCTTATCTTTTCTACCATCGCTGGCAACCTCTGACCAACAGGATTTTCACCTTGACTTTTCCGGGCGACGTAGATATGTGTGTATCTAGCAATGCTAAAATGGAGTCAATTTAAATTTTGTAAAAAACATGACTCGTACAGAATAAAAATTAGAGGAGAGCGAGCAACTTGTAAATTTAACCCTAGAGGATGGTTTTGCAAGATTATTTTGCTAAAAGTTGTGTCCAAGCCAAGGAATTTATTGCGGTTTTGGTTTAGCAATATACATACATAGAACTGTTTGTTGGTCGAATTGTTGTAAACTCATTAAACTTATTCATTAGAGATCACACTTATCTCACAAATAATCCTGTACGTTCAACTAGTTTCTTGATGATCAACTCGCCATCGGGTCATTTACTTACAGGCAATAACGTACTTACTTACGGAATACTGAATTGAAACAAAAGTCAAAATCAGCACACACACAAGAAAGGATGCTGCCTGGCACAATGCAATTTAAATATCCATCTCTTCCTAATTCAAAGTTGTTCTTGGAACTTTGTACGTACCGTGGCCAAATCAACCTGGTTTCCTCTGTTGGCCGTTCTTATAAAATTATTTCGTCCACAACACGGATGACAGTGCAAAACTTGGGTCTTGTACATGGCCGAAACAAACATTCTACTAGTTGGTTGACTCAATTAAACTATCATCCTCACGTTAGCTGTTACGGCGATAATGATTAAGTAAAATCTGCATACCATGTGAACTGCAGCAATGCAATGTTGTCTGCGTATTGGAGCATGAAAGCTAGAATTCTTCCATACATTCATTATTCCTGCATCCGAAACAGTTAGTTCCTTAGGGTCAATAAAGCCAAGCAAAACGTGATTAAATTCCTTAAATGGGTAATTCCCCCAGCTTTCTTTGCAAAACTGTCGTGTGAGAAATCGGAAGCAAACTTTGTGCTCAAAATTTTAGATGAATGATTACTATTTATTTCTTTACTGAACTACATTTGGTCAAATTTTAGATTGACACGTATGTGCATAGATTAGGCAATACTACGTGTATGGAATACACGCATCTAGTTGTGGGAACGAAGCAAATTATTATGTTTCACCAAGACAGTTACCACTTCATTAGCAGGCAAACTAAACTGGTGTCATGTAGAGTTTAATCGTGGCAAGTCGACAACTCATCATCATCAGGAATAGTCAACCTAAAAGTCGAGCCAACAATTCAGCCCTACACAATGGACCAGGATACAAAGAGGGTAATAATGTGCAAACAGGGAGTTTGAATAGATGAGTTATGTTGCATTTAAAAGAGTGGACAACCGACCAGTTTTACCATCAGATTTGGTGGTTTAAGTAAGTCGTCGTCGTCTTGTAAGAATACAGTAATCAGCTAAACTCATCTGCATTGTAGGCTCATCTCTCTTCGCTTGTATTTACAAGGAGTATCAAATATTTGTGATACAACTGAGATAAAATTGGTATTTAAAATGTTTATCATGTCGTTATATTAGTTCTACAACAATAAAAAATACACTTCAGGTCTGACAGGAGAAACTAGAAATCACCTGACCCACCTCTTTTCACCAACTGCAACGTATGTATGAATTAAAGAGATTAATTGCATTAAATTTCGTACATATGTATGTATCCATAAATTGTTTATTGTGACTGGGAAATGCAGCACAAACATAATACGGATACATATTTACTGCATATGTATTAATGTAAATGGACACCCGTAAAAGGGAAGAAGCGATTGAAATTTTCCCGATACATTGTGACAAACCGAATCATCCGTGTAATGTTTAAATGGCAGTGGTTGACACTTTTAGTCTGTGTTCACTAACAATTGTGTCAATCAAGAGACGTACCTCCTTCTTGGAACTTCTTCCAAATTGCTATTGCACGATATGATAACAAGGTCCGACGACAGACATATACGTACCACCGAAACGATGAAACGGTTGAATTTTCTATTAGGCCTGCTAACTTCAATGTTACGGATTAAATAACCCTACTGATCCAAATGTGAGGCAGCGTGTAATGGAATAAATCGCGGATTTGAACCACCTGGGCTAAATTGAATTCAATACCTGAATTGAATCACATAATGTGGAATCGACATTTCGTGAGATATTGGTAAACGACAATCACGCCTGCCCTTTCAAAATTTCAACTTCATTTCTTTCGTACTTTTCAAACTTTGACAAATTCGTGATGTTCATTTTTCAACCCATTTGATACCAATCTAACCGTTAGATGATCCAAACTATTATTCTTTTGTCCATCACACTGATAAATACAAACTGTATTTTAACACTAATGAAATTGTTATTACTCATATCCCATCATTAATGCGACGAGGACGACTTGATGGTGAAAATATGTGTTGTACTTATGCATATAGCACAAACATAAATATATTTAGACCCCATGGCCGGCATTCCTCATTTGTCTATTGTTCATTGTAAAAGTAATTTAAGTTTCGACTCCTTATTCATATTGCGGTCAACAGATGAATTCATAAGCAAGTAAACATGGACGATTTCAAGAGGTGTTGTTGTTATGATAGAATTTGTTTTCTTCTTCAAAATGTCAAAGGATTTAGGAAAATTAAAATTGTTTTTCCCAGAGAAATCATCCTTTTTAATATACGTACTTCCGTGTCCGGGTGGTGGTTCATGATTTATGTTGGAAGTACGCAATCAATAATTTAACAATTGAATATGACAGCTATCCGACAAGACCACCACCAGTCATGCACATGGCCACAGACAATCCCTACAAACTAATTTCATGCAAATACAGAAATAAAAACTTTCCCGTTTTTCCCTTTCAACTTCCAAATAATAATTTATTAACGGAGAAATTAACTATTCCCATTGTTCTGTATGTACTACTACATATGCAAATATTGACCTAACTGAAGTCTTATTCAACCTTATGCACCCAAGTGTAAAAGCAAACATTTGACTTTCTTTCAATAAAAACGTCAGTTGTCCATATTTCACCAGTAATTCACACCATTATTGGCCAAACCACAGACAGTTGTTGCAGTAGAATGTGTGTAGTATTAGTGACTGACTGACAATTCGCATGCACAGACAGTACACACTTGTTCTTACCTTCTTGACCATGTCAGGAGGAATAAATATGAAAGTTGAGTGAGGTTGAAGAAACGGAAATAAAAGTGTGGAAAAAATCCGAAAATAAACGACTGTGAATCAGTGAATCTAATCTTAAACAAGTGCCCAACTCTCAAGGTGGATTGATGAGATGGAGTATTTCATGTCGAATTTAAAACGGTAGTAAAGCAGGAGCATATCCAATTCCAATTCCGTCCATGAAAGAGGGCCATTGACACCTCATTTTACGAAGGAACCACAGCACTAGTAGTATCCGTACTGGTGGTGTTGGTTGGTAGTGAGATGGAAATTCTAATTTCAGGGGATGAATACCATTATCATCCTGGCATAGATATACATATTTAGTCGTAGCAGTGCAAATAAGATGTTACTGATGGGCAAATAATTTGATAGTTTACTTACAAGAAGGAAGGAAGGGTGCACCTGTAATTTTAATTTAATCCGACAAGATGAGCACTACTCGGCTACATAACTAATAAAACCATGCATACCCCAGACAGGAAGATCGAACAGTTCATTTTACATCATAGATACACGCATTTACTCATCGCGTGCAGTGCTGAGTGAAGAATGGCAAATCATTCACAAACAATCAAAGTTCGGATGAACACCTTCTTTATATGGTTGCTTGGCTAGCCAGACAGAGGACACGGACAACAATGCAAACAAGATTATCTAAGAATGAGGGGAACTGTATGATTGGAAATGCATTATTAAATGACAAGAATGCCGCATATTTAGTTTTTCTTTCGTGTTATGTAAGTTGCGCCCGATTTCATTTTTTGTCTTTCTTTCTATAACAGATCCTCAATGTTCAACAAAGCTACTGGAGACTGCGTCTTGACCGATATGGACCGAATGTCGATGGGAACCATGAATGCGTTGGAGGTGGAAAATGGAACTGATTACATGGAATCGAACTGTGTGTAAGTATATAATAAAACAAAGAAATCTTCATTAAGCGTTCTCGCCATTTTTCGACATGATGTCGACAAAACATGTCGACGCCGCACTTAATAATTGATTCACTTATACTCCCACGACATCGCGGGAACACTCAATTTCAATGTTTTATCTGTAGATTCTATTTTTGTAAAAATCTCATTTTGCCCCGACCACACCCCCTGGCGACGAGGGAGTGTGGCACAACACAAGGAGCACTTAATTTAACTGTATTTAACCCCCCTCAGGATGGATCCAACCAAGCTCTGCGACTTTAAAAATCTTGATGGCAAGATTCTGAAGACTGTGGACGCCGTGTATCAAGAAGTCTCATCAGAATCTGAATGCCAGTAAGTACATAATACAATAACTAACAATTGGAAATCGAGATAAGAGTGTGCACACAAGTACAGTGTTAAAATCCATTCACGCTTTCGGTAAGAAGGAGGTGATTGACAGGCATAACACTTTATAATCAACAAAGCATGGCTAATTAACCAAAAAGCCGGACTAATTTAGTGTCCACGTATGACACATGGATGTACATATAGATATTGCTAAATAGCATGTTATTGCGTGTGCATACTTACATATTTACATAGGCTTGAAATGTGTTAATGCGTGCGATTATTACATTTTAAAATTATAATCGCTTAATTTTAGAAATCTTTGCCTGAATACGGCATTCCGCTGTCAGTCTTACGACTACAATGCTACGGGTGCACAAGTATGCAGATTGAGCCACCACAACTCTTTAACCTTGACGCAAATCCGAGACCCGTAAGAGAAAAGATGTTTAAAATGTCTAATAATTATTATTTATTTATTTATTTAATTCTCTTCATCAGCTTCCTTGTCGTCCCTGGAGCATCCACAAAGGAACTTGCTGCCTGTTACAATGTCAGTGTGGACTGCCGAGCTGGAGACATGATTGCCACCGTGAGAACGTCAAAGATCTTCCAAGGAAAACTTTACGCCAAAGGTAAATGTGCACATATATTATATTCATCTTACATAAAGACTGTCTCTATGTACATATCAGGTATAATTAAGAGTTAACATGATATATATCCTATCTTGACCAGGTGCACCTAATAGCTGTGCCGTGGATGTGGACAACTCTCTGGAATTTAAATTGAAATTGGCTTACACTGATTTGGACTGTGGTAAGTGAATCACTATATTAAGCTATTTATGGCACGATTAATCATCACATACAAGTCAGACCAAAAATGCAATCACTTTCTGTTTAGCATATTTAAAACAATCTATTTAAATTTTTCAGGTGTCCGACGAGAGTCCATGGGTCGGTATTCCACTGAGGTTAGTTAATTGTGTTTTTTTTTCATTTAGATTTTTTAAGAGCAAAATGGAAAACTTAATAATAATTTAGGTGATCTTGCAACATCACGATCAAATCGTTACTGCTTCCGACATGGGACTTTCCGTCGCCTGCCAATATGACCTCACGAACAAATCCGTGTCAAATGAAGTTGACCTCGGCGTGGTTGGAGACTTGAAGAATTCCATTACTCAAGAAAGCATTGTAGACTCACCGAATGTGGCCATGCGAGTAACAGATCGACGTGGAGAATCTACTGGAGCAGCTCAGGTAATAATTGTGTAGCTATATTTGCCATCTTTCACATATGAACCGTTCTTTTCTCATACGAATCTACAAAACATTAGGTCGGAGACCCGTTGTCCCTTCGTTTCGAAATTGTGGACCCCAACAGCCCATACGATATCTTTGTACGAGAACTTGTCGCAATGGACGGAGTTGACGGATCAGAAATCATGCTTCTCGATGGTGAAGGTTGCCCCACAGATCAGCGAATTATGGGTGCTCTAAATCGGGCTTCGGATGATCAAAAAGCACTCGTAGCTCACTTTGATGCTTTCAAGTTCCCAACTTCAGAAATTGTAAGATTTTTACTATTGAATTAAAAAAACTCCTTCCTTCATCTCTACATCAGTCTCTCCATTACGGTTACGGCATAACGACATACCAGCAGTAACCAGTTAGTCAGAAAGAATTATACTTTTTATAGGTCCAATTCCGAGCTTTAGTTACCCCCTGTCTGCCACATTGCCAACCGGTCATCTGCCCCGTCCAAGACGGTACCGGCCTCCTCCAAGAAGTCCCCTCTCTCGGAAGAAGGAAGCGCAGGATGCTCAACTCCACTGGAGAAGAGCCATCCTCCAACCAACTTGGTGAACCCCACAGATATTCCGGAGCCACTTCTTTCGTTTACAGCCACATGCACCGAACCCGACGTGACCTGAGCACGGACAAAAATGAGGTTTTGCCCCAAGAAGAAATGCTGTTGGTTCGATCCATCCACATTTCTGACCGATTTGGACCCGACAAGAAACGCGACCGTAAACTTTCACCTGACTCTTCCTCTGCAAACTCCAACTTCCGAGATAACGAGAAAAACTCAAGGATCAACAATTTTGAGGATGATGACGATGACGATGAAGCTTCCTCCTCCTCCTCTTCTGACCGCCGACCTTACGAGGAGAGAAAGAGTGAAAGCACCAGCCGTCCCACGAGCTGTATCAATTTGTCCACCGTCTTGGGGGCTGGAGCTGTTGTTGTAGGTATTCAAATTGCCATGCTTATCATCGGAGCTATGCTGTTTCTTCGAAGGAAGGATAGCAGTAGCAAATTGTTGCCACAACAAGGATCCCGACCACCTCAACAGACCATATTCGTTAAGAGATACTAACTAAAAGCGCTATAATAACTTAACACTCAATTACTATACATAGATACTTAATTAACTACTGTACTGTACAAACAATATTATTCTACACTGAAAGACTCGCGCATAGACCATTGATTATACCACAAACGTTAGTATATCCATACAGAAGTAAGAGAGAGCAGGTGAAAAAAAACTCATTAATGATTCATCAGTACATTCTTCTCGTCACGGCCTTCTAAGGAAGCATTGGTGCTAATTCAGCTAATTGTTGTCACTGGTCAATCAATACATCTATTCATTCGTACCTGAGAGAATTACATCATCCTACCACCGCTGCTTTTAACGTTCTCAAGAAGACAAGGGAATTAAAGTCTCATTCCCTTGAAAATTTGCCCCACATAAAAAAATCTCATTTGTACCTGATTATGTTTCTGAAAAAAAAGTAAATCCCCCCTGATGAAAAATATGTAGTGAGTGGTCAGCCAATGGAAAAGTGACGATACATTATTGTTATTATGAGTGCTTTCTATGAAAGAAGATGTGATAATAGGACTACTGTCAACGTGTATTCGTTCAAGAGAAAAAAAAATAGAAGCAGCATGACTCTGCCTACTTTCGGACAAAATATAAACGCCAATTCAATCTACTCAACTTGAAGAGTACTTGACTGACTCTAAATCTACATGACAGTATTTACGAAAACAATATTATGTAACATTCTCAACAATTCAGAACAACCGTAAACTGGAACGACTCATTCAAGTGCTTATTCATGTAAACTCCATATACATACAAAAATGAACGTAGTAACGTAACATTATAGGATTAGTTGGAGGGTGGAAAAAAGGCGTAAAAGTTGAGAAAAAGTAGTAATATTAGGATACATACATAAGTAAAATATAGTCTCATAAGAAGACTCTCAACTGATTATGACTAATCATTATACTTTAAATAAATGGTCATTCATCGTCATAAATACTGTAGCAGAACATTTAGCTTCTTTGTAATGTAATGCTGCTCGTATTTAATATTTTTAGATTGACAAGTTGTTGTAAGTCATTCAGACGCACAATGGGGTATACTTTTCAAAATTGTGAAGATGTTGATAACAACAATTTCAAATCAAATATTTGTACGAGTTGTTGTTAGTGGATAAAGCTTGAATCTCATACATATTAGTTAATTAGTTCGTATGTGTTGACGGTTGTGGGTATTTATTTAGTAATGTTATACATACGTCTATTATTTATCATACTTTTAGTAGTATTTAGAGATTTTTTACCTCTGACCTATTATTTGTTGGGATTTATTTATTAAACTAGTGCTAAGTATTTATTATTATTTTATTTATTATGGGTGATAGCAATATATGGAATGGAGAATATTGTTATTATTTATGAGTATTATTAGTTAAGACATGATGGAAAGGTGTGTATAAGATTAAGCTTGGTGCTTTTTTAAATATGACGATGAGGAGAAGAGCAATGATAATTATTATTTACTATATAAACTAACCGCTAGCTAAGCAATAAAGTATGTAACTAACAGCTAATAGGGTTTGGGAAAAGACATTAATTACATACATACATACGCACTATGTACTACACACTCTTGGCTGTTACCGGCTAAAACACAAAACTGCATTATTAGATGACGTACATATATCAGCGAATTCATATCCCTCAGTTTTTTTAACTAGTACATAAATGAATTCATAACATTAACACAATCCGCTGGTTTATCTTCCTCCTTTATAATTTGAATATTCAGACATTGACGCACTCAGCTCAAACATCACGGGAAAGGAAACCACTAAAAGAAACCACAATTTCAATCTGTCGAAAATCATTACATATTAGCAAAAAAAATTTGATAGGAATAATTCATCAAATCATTGTCTTCATCGCGTCGTCGTCGTCGGTGGCGAGCGGCTTATTAAACGGATCTTTTCGACAAAACTTGCAATGTTTATGTTATATGTTATTGTGCATTCGAGTTGAGGTGATCATTATTACATAATAATGTAATATGTAAATGTGGTTGTGAAGTGCTGGGAATGTGATACAGCGGCTACATAAATTTTTGTTTTTGTGCTACATATTCACTTATGTACCACCTTCACTCACCTCACACACTCATCTTCGTCACCTCACTCACTCACATTATTTGATTGTAGCGGAAGTGTCATCGACATCCATCCGCAGAAGAGTAATAATAATAATATAATGATGATCCAACTTTCATTGCTTTCTGAATCAAGCAGAATAATAAGAAGAAAAGAAAGGGCACACAACACACATATACATACAACATAACACTACACTCACGCAATTCCTATCCGTTTCATAACTTTTTTTGCTGTAAATCAGTTAAAAACACTGACACCATAGAAGGAAGGAGATTGAAAAGAAGAAGAAGAAGGGAACGGGATAAGAATAAAACATCAGGAGAAGAACAGTACTGTAGAATTTCATACTCTATTATACCACACAATGATTGTCATTGAACGTCGGTTTGTAGCGAAGATAAGTGAATTTTTTATTTAATTTAGTCTCATCTTCTTCTCCTTCTTCTTCGCAATCTCTCGAGGACGACAACGCACAATCTTTTTGGTGCGATGCTAGAAAAAGTGCGTACGATACGAACGACGCTACCAACCACAATAAGATACATATGAATGTATGTACCCGACGTCTTTGCTTATTTGACTCTACATACATATACGCTGTTGCCACTGGGTATTTAACTTTTTGTGGAAGCAGATCAAAATTACATGATGGGAGATGGCACGATTCATGTCGGAATTGAGATGAAAGAAAAAAAAAACTAAATAAAAATCAATTCGAGAGAAATTCCTTTCCCGTGAAGTTGCAGTGTTCTTGTTGCGTTGAGTTTGTGTTTTTCAAAAAAATTAGCTCCGTGCAATATCTATGGCCGTGTATTTAAATTCGATTTTGTTTTGTATATGTATTTGTGAAATGGAAGAAACTTAAGTAATTAACTGACTAACTGATATTTCTTCAACGAATGGCCATTTTGTTTATGAATTATAAATACTGACTGTAAGATATAACTACCTACCGACTAGTTTTAAATGACGATAACTCGTATTTAGCTTGTATGTTTTGTACTTCTTGTATTATGTAGTGGTAAGTAAATAAATAACATTTTAGTAAAATATAATACGCCAACTTTTACTAGTTTCATTTGACATGTGACAATTTATTAACACACACACAACAAGTAAGAGTTTAACAATTTTCACGCAATCATGATGCATATGTAAATGTTTTGGACGACATTGGACGAAAATAAATGAGACTGACTTGACTTGACAAGAATCAACGGACCGTAAATAAAGTAAAGATAAAAATGCCAAGGTGCGTTTTCATAATTGAATGTCAACTTTTAAACTCACTACAATAATGATAATGGTAATAATAAGTGAGGGTATTTAGTGCAGCAGTAAGTTTCTGCTCTGCAATTTCGCTACATGCTACCTGCCTCCAAAAACTTGTTTGCATTTGTTGCTGTGTGCATATCTCGTTACAGATGTGTGAAAAAGATAAGCACAAGTAGCAAAGTAAATTGAATTATGAACGACAAGGTTTGGATGAATGTGCAAAGTGGTGAAGATTTATAATACATAAATTACAATAATAAGTAAGGACGGGTTTCATCATTTATCATGCCTATAATCGGGTGCTAATAATAAGTAGTTGAAGGTACATAAATAATTACTATTGGTTCATTTCATGAGGACAAAATCTATTCATAGTGCGTGCAGGAGTTGATTGTGCGTAATTAATGTATACTCCAAAAGGTGCGTGTATGTGCGTGACTTGAATTTTAATGATTCCTTTTTTGTTGGCTAATTAGGTGTTAATCTTATCATTGTGGTAGACAGATAAGGTGCTACTGAATGATAAGCCAATACATCAAATACAATTTCCAATTAATCTTTGGTGACAGCCAAACCAACAAACAATAACGTAACTGAAATGATAATGACATGAAAATGACTTACTCGTCGTCGTCGCCCAAAAAACAAACAAAACATTGCGACCGTATACAATGTATGTGTGTATGTAAAATATAATACTTATACTTTGTTTGGAAAATGACTGTTTAGTGTCAATTTGATTTTGTTATTGTTTAAGATTTTTTTTATAGAAAATAAAAGCTCGCGTTTTCCAAGAAAATCCTCACGACGCCCGACTCTTCTTGAGTTTGTATTATTTTAGATAGTTAGCCAAACTAATGCGGAAGTGCTTTTCTTTTGCCATCTTGCTTCGATGACTAACTAAACTGTTCCTAAAACTACAACCTAACAAAGAAGTGCATTCCATTCTTTTTTGTCAAATTATTATGAAATCTTGGTCGCAAGCAGTCACACCGAACCCTTTGTCCTTTTACGACAAGATTTTAATACACGAAGAATAAATTCGCTATCTACCAAATTACAAAACACCGACCAAACTGCATACATACATAGTTGTTAAATAAAAAGGGAATTTTTTTATTTAACTCATTCATTGAGATTCCTGCGGGGTGGGTATCATCACATCGCACACACACACATCCTCCTCATTCTTGCGATGATTACGTGTCTCTTTATTTGTTGCGTTATTATGCATTACAGTCACCTCTTGTTTTTTCACCGGCTTTATCAAGCCGCATTGTATACGTACTTTTCTACATTGTTGACCATTGTTGCTATTTATTTACTTGAAAAGTTATACAATTCGGCCACTCGTCATCCTTCATCATTTCCAAATTTTGTCTTGTTTAGCTCCTAATTCAGTATAGTTAGCTTAAAACGCCGTAGCCAATATGATGTCCTACAGAGAGATATAGTTTGCAATAGGATAATAAAAAATTGTTTTGACAAACATTTTAACAGTACAACGGTCATCACTCATCAGTCGTTGAAACTAGAGCAATCTCGTTAATTGACAATGATCTCTATAAATAACCACCATCTCATCATTATTGTCACCAAAATATGTAAGTCACACTCACTGTAATCGGAATTCACAAGTGGTGACGTACACAAGTCATAGAAAAACTCGGCATCTATAAACGAAGACAACCACCACGACTAGTAAGTATGCAGCAATCAGTTGAGTTGAAGATTTTGAAATTTTTTGCTGCTTTTTGGCTGAGTCAGCATATTTACTTTTGTTAATGTATCGGATTATTATTAGCGTACAGGTGAAGCGAAGCCAAGTGCCACTGTACATACATACTGCTTTTTGATACACTTCTCATCGTCACTCGTACATGAAAATTGTCATGTACACATGTACACGTATGTACAGTGCAAGTAACACATATCTTGATACCCTGATAAATGGGGCAATCAAGCATTGATCAAATGATGATGACTAATGGACGATGAATAGGACACAGCGTTAGTAAAATTAAGGGGCACGGTTACACTTACTTTTACATGTGTACCTTAATTATATGAGAACCAAAAAAAAATGACCAACCTATAAATTCTATAATGCGGAATTAACTGTCTGATAAATTACTTGCAGTTCGAAGGAAGCATGTATTAACAAATCGAAACTAATCGTCATCATTTACAGTAGTGCTATTTATACGAGACTGAAAGTGGAGCAGAGTAGTGGTGTGTCAAAGTCAATGTCAATTAGCCGAATATTTTATTTAGAGGACCATTAGAAATAACTCTATGAATTAGTAGACGTTGTTCATGCTGACATTGGCTAGTAGTCAATCTTGCAGCGACATTCTAACTTTGTCATCATAACAAAACCAAACAGCTCAGTTTTTTTCAGACTCTGTCCAACTGCATATCTCGGCAAACAATTCATACCAAATAAGTCGACGTGGCTAATAATACACAACTAATTATTATAACAATGACACAACTTCTTCAGACAAGAATATTCTGTTTTGAGCCGTGTTTCATTTCATTTCATAATTATTGTCACACAAACCTGTTCACTGCTCTGCCCGTATATGGGTTTGTAACACTCAGCAAAAGATGTTAACGAAATAAATATGCAATTGTCAAACCTTGGGTTAAAAATACCGTTAGGTTATTCCACCAACAATTTTTTATCGTGAATATCATTACCGCAACATGAATGCATGCTGGAGTAGGATTCGTAAAAGTTCGTGAACATGTAGAATTTTTGCATTTTAAAATTGCCTTGACCAATCGAAATGCATAACCGTTATAAGCGAAAATATCAAACCTTACCCGCAATCGATGATCGTCAACAGTCCACACTCTAATCGCATAATCACTGGACGAAGCCAACATAAAGTTTGCAGAATTGTCAAAGTCAACACTCATAATGGAAGCGTTAGCCCCGGTCAAGGCTGCGCGGAGTTCGGGACCATTGGACGTGCACTCCCAAAGCTTCACTTTTCGGTCGGCGCCACCCGTTAGGAAATGTTTTCCATTGGGACTCCATCGAACCGTGTAAAGCTCACCCTCTGTACTATCCTATATGATTAGACAGAGAAGAATAAGCTTATGCAGACAAGTTGTAACTCAAATTTAAACTAAATATATGAAAAAAAATATGTAACTTACAAAGATATATGAAACAGTTTTTGGCACAAGGCAGTAATCTAAGCCTAGAGGAGGAACTGAGGGGGTTGCTTCCGGAACAAGGGTAACCGCGGAAGCATCCTCTACTTCGACAACGGTTTTAACCTCTTTTGCTGCATCTTCCAATTCCTTTTGAACTTTTGCCTGTCTTTTTCTGTCAAGAAACGTTTATAAAATTAATTTATCACGCGCATTATGGAGAATTGTAACAAACAATTTTCAACATTACTTGACGAAATTTTCGTTTTCCTGATTCATAAGGTCTGCATGTTGTGCCTTTATCTCAATGTATCGTTGAACAAGCTAGGAAAAAAATAGTATCTCATGTATAATAACGAATTTAACCCTACATATGTAGATACATAGGTAGTATACTTCATGAAACTGCATCATAAATATGTACCTGTGAATTTTCCTTCAAATTCTTTAGATATTTTTCCTCTAGGGAATTGTAAGCTAGCTGAAGGGCTTGATGCTCATCCCGCAATAGCTCGTTGGTAGCTTCCAACCTAAAAAACAAGTTAACATGTAACATGATCAACGCCATCAAATCCCATGAAATTAAAATATTTTAAACTGATTATACTCTTGTGATTTAGCTTGAAAAAATTTCATCTGATCCTCCAAATCAGCAGCCTTTGCCACACATCCAGCAAGTTGTGTTTGTACTTGGCCCATCTGCAAATTATAATGACAATCGTTATTTTTTAGCCAACAATTCTATCAGTCGTAATTACTTGGTAATTTTCTAGGATCGCAGTTATACCACATGATTAAATTCAATAGTCAAACCTTTTCCTTTTCCTCGCTAATTTCCGCCTCCCTGTCCGTCAATTTGGCTGATAAGCTGAGTACTTGGGATGCATTTTCGCCTCGTTTTCTATGCATTTCAGTGAGTTCTTCTTGTAACCCCATGACCTTTTGTTCCAGGGCCTTAATGCGTATTAATGCACAATAATTAATATCTAAAATCCATCATTTATGTATTTACAATTATTTAATATGAAAATAAATAAGCATGTACCTTTTCCCTTTCTTCCGTCAATCCTGACGACGAGGGCCTCCTATCGCCACGTTGTTCCATTTGCAGACGAAGATTTTCTTGTCGGATAGATGCCCAGTTTTCAAACAATCGTTCATCTACATTTCATACAAAAGCTCAATGTTATAATTGCATTACAAGCCAATAAACAAATTGACATAAAAAGTCTTACGATGCTGGAATAGTTCGGTAAATCCACGATTTTCTCGTTTATTCCTATCATACAACCTTGTTAAAATTTGCGTCCTGAATTCTCCCCTCCATTCTTGCCTTGCAGGCATTTTACTACGTTAGTAAAGTGTCCAACTTTAAGTAAGTACGCAATTAATTCTAAATCCTTAAAAATCTTGATTCTTTGTTAAATTCGATTCGATCGTTCTTTCACCACCAATAATTGTACAAAACAATTTTTACACACAAGATTTTGAGGGCAAAATCAGCCTTATCAAAAAATAACAGTGAAGCTTTCCAGAATTTTATTTATTTATTTATCTGTTTGTTGACATTTTCGAGATATAACTTTCTTGAGTTTGTTTCGTTGATAAAAGCGGCTGAGCTTGGAACATGTGACTCGAATCGAGTGTGTATAAAAATAACATGTGCTTGCTTGTTGCAACAAAAACCAAGTCCTGTCCAGCAGAAATCATCATCGAGTTCGCTCTCGTTGCGCCAATCAGTTTGACAAGTTTTTTGAGGTACGCGTGTTTTTCGTAATTTTCAAAATTTACAAAAATTACGAAACCAACAAACTTGAACCGTTCGGAAATTGTCGAGTGTATGTATACGTTCTATTTTTAGGCCGGTGATGATGTATAGGTGAGTCAATCTAATCAATTTAATAGTTTGTGTTGCGAACTTACATAATTGTGAATTGGATATGATATAAGTCAATTTTAATGATTTCTTTAATTTTAATTCTAATACCGAATTTTTTTAATTTTAGACTGGTTGTATACTAATTTGCCACTTGATCAAGGTTGGAGGGGTGGAGGATTAAGTAAATCTCCCTTAATTGCGAGTGTTTTTTTTACTGAGCTTTCGAAATGGTAAGGGCATAATTAGTTGATGATGTTTTCTAAAGATATCAAATTAATTGCTTTCATGTGTGTGTAGTCGTTTACTTTGGAAAGACGAGAACAAGCTACGCACGAAGAGGCGATTTGGGCAGCAGACTGGTATGTACCGGAAGGAGGCGATCCAACTACTTCTGGAAAAATTGTGACCGGGGCGTTGGACGATACTGTGAAGGTTTGTTGTTAACTTTGATAATACAAATTTTTTTATTAAGGAATGCTAAATTTGTTTGGTACTTAAAGGTGTGGAATTACAATGGGGCAGAATTAACAGTGGAGCGAACACTTTTGGGTCATTCTTTGGGGGTGTTGTCTGTGAGGGTGGATCCTAGTGGAAAGTTATTTGCGTCGTCGTCCCTGGATTCTAATATCAGCGTGTGGGATTTGGAGACTGGTGACAAAAAGAAGAGCATTGATTCGGGGCCTTTGGAAAGTTGGACGGTTGAGTTTACAAGGGATTCTAAATACATTCTGACCGGCTCGGCTGATGGTAAAGTGGAAATGTTTGATGTGGAGACTGGAAAGAAAGAAAAGTCTTTGGAGACCAAGGGGAAAATGGCGTTGAGTTTGGCGACGAGTCCAGACGGAAAGTGAGAACGATTAATTATTATTTGTTTTATGCGCAACTATTGAGCAACAACTTTTGAATATCAAATTGTCTATTTTTTAGGTGGATTGCGTGTGGTGGCTCTAATGGATTGGTGGCCTTATTAGATGGCGAAACTGGAAATTACTTTAAGAGTCAGTTACTCGTTTTATTTAGTTGAATCTTATTATCAAGTTTTTTAGCACCATATCTTTTCTTTTATACACAGCATTGGAGGGTCATGCCATGCCTGTTCGTGCCCTTGCATTTTCTCCCGATTCCAAGCTCTTGTTTACAGCCTCTGATGATAAACATGTGAAGATATATGCTTTGTGAGTTGTTTTTATTTATTTTTAAAATTCAGATCCAGGCTTAATGTTGTTAATACTTATTGTGTTCTATTCTAGGACCGAATTTCAAGTCGTCGGAACAATGTCAGGCCACAGTTCTTGGGTACTAGGAGTTTCAGTTTCGCAGGATGGAACTAATTTTGCTACCTGCTCATCGGATAAAAGCGTCCGGATCTGGGACCTCAACACTAAATCTTGTTCTCACGTCTTTAACGATGCACATACTGATCAAGTGTGGTCTGTGGTGTGGGGATCGAATACGAAATTAGCTTCAGTTGGAGAAGACAAATGCATCAACATTTACAACATGGTTAAATAAGAACAATTAGGATAGTTATGTATTATGTATCCTTCTTTTGTTTTTTTATTTTTGTTTCAAATATTCAATCTTTCAATTAAAATTTGTCTTGTTATCCCAAAAATGGCACGAGGGCTCTTTAGAGTTTTATTTTTACCATAACACAACATAAATACTTATTAGCTATACTCTCCATCTAAATATTATTTGTTATCAAGAATCCGAATAGTATGTTCACTGGATAAAACAGTTCCTTTTTTCATCAGTACTCTACATTCATTTCTTTAGAGTGCACTTATGTGTGACACAGTATGTATATTGACACGTCGTCGTCGTCGTCGATAATTAAACTTTCATACTGTTTTATACATATATTTAGATATCTAATATGGTTTTTTGAACTGAACCGAATAGCAATACTCACTTCTTTTCCTACATTATCGGATCATCGTATATGTATTAACAGAATGGAACTGTAATGACGACAAATAAAATTAATAATAAAATAAAGTATATTGTCTGATGATTTTGGTACTTAAGTATATCATACGCACATTACAATTAAAAAATTATTTATTATAGTATGCATGTATGTATACTAAAGAAGAAACCCGTAATATATATTGTGTTCAGAGTTTCGGTCGTCCTTAGCTCTCGAAATACAATAATAAATTTTTCACGCATCACGCAGTAAGATAACCTTAATTATGTACTCGAGCCCCTATAACAGTCCTTCATCTTTATTATTTTCATTGTTAGACTACCATTTCACTGGAATTCACTTTAAACTTAATAATGACTACTCAAATACGTAACTCAACAGAGAGAGTAGCACTATACTTGGAAAAGAAATAATAAATTATACTCTAAATGTACAAAAATCCTCCGTTGTTGATAGTGTCAATAATTTTTGAAATAGTTTGGCTGTTGTAATTAAAGAAACAGTAAGTCATAAATAGTATTGAACCAAAACTGCACACAACAAATCAAAAAAACAACCTACGTTTTCTGAAAACTCTCCCCATTAGGCAAGGGAATTGAACAAACGCATGATAATGTAATATAATACTTTTTCTCCTACGGCTAACAACTGTCTCTTTAGTAATTGTCGAGTGATTTTGAATTTATAGATTATTGCACCAACTATGGACTTTCTTAGATATATTAGAATAAGAATATAACCGTGGGACCTTTAAGTATTCATTTATAACTCCTGTTGCTGCTATATATTTCGCTTTTTAAGTAAGTCATGTAATTATTGGTGATGTCAATTGTCAAGTCATGTAGTGAAAGTCTCGACGATTTACTTTCTACCGAAAGATATATTAGATTCTAATAACCACCATGTCCTTATGTATTCCGATGCATGTATGGTTTAAAATAATTATTATTCACCTAAATTTTCCCTTCAATTCTTTCAAAAATACCACATTACACCACATTATACATTTTCTGAAAATATAGCAGCATTATTAACTTTTTGTTTGAATTTGAAACAGGCAGGCACATTGAATTATAACTCTAATAAAAAAGACATGTGCACAATAATTTTTTAAAGACTGATCACAAGTTAACGAAGGTACAGAGTCATGAGTAGACATTGAGAAAATCCTATTACTTATTGAAGTTGTTGTCTACGTTTAAAAATGTTTGTTTTTGAGGTTGATTTTTTAGAAGACCTAGATACAGATCCGAGATGATCCGAGACGATGCATAATATGAAGTTATCAGAGTAGTTATCCGTCAGTCACAACGATGGGAAGATTATACAAATATATGTAGTTAGTTGCCTTATCATACATCACACTACTTTTCCCTGTATAAAAAATAATAAATAGTGATTAGCCCTCATATATTAAAATAGATTGCGTAAATATATATACTGCATACTATTTTTTTTACTCACCTAGCCATTCTCGCAACAGTAGCTTTTATTCTAGCATCGGAAATTGAAGGGACCAGCCTGGATAGTGTCTCTCGAAGGAAGACTGAGAAAACAATTGCAGTCCGGGGTCATTTACATGTTTAATTAATTGATGTTTGTAATAAATATTCACCTTCCGAGAATCCAGGTGACGACAATTCTGCAGATTCAAAAGCACGTCGAAGGTCTTCTAAAGCCTCTGCTTTTGCCGTTCCATTAGTACCAGACTTTTTCTTTAACTAAAAAAAAGTAATTTTACTTTTAAAATTTGAAATATATGAAGATAATTTATAATGAAGACGACTACATACGTCAAGTAAAAGGGGCGACAGTACAGATGTGGAAACTCCGTTAGTGGCAGAAACATTGACATGGTTCGTGCTGCTTTTCTGATTGTGAGAATGGGAAGAAGATGAATGATGGGATGACGAAGTGGCCCTGCCACCACTTCCATCTCGATCACGATCACGTTGACCAGAAACCTTGTTCTTTTCAGGAGACTCTCTCACTTTCGAATGACCAAAATTGTTATTTTCTCCTACAAGACTAATATCTCGATCTCGATGATGATGGTGATTGTTGGACTGAGTCGGTCCTGAAACAACCGCAGGAGAGTTTTGTACATGAATTTGATTCTTAAACACCGGTGCCGGTGCCGGCGGAGAAATGGAGCGATTTCTTTGGTAATTTTGTTGTTGCATTTGTTGATCTAGTTTATGAAATTTCGCAAATGCATTTTGACTTGAATAGTCATCAGAAGAGGAAGCTGATGATACTATCACACGATGTTTTGGGGAATGTGTAATGTTTTCTTCAACATGGTGGTTGTTTCGTCGGCTATCAGGTTCGTCATCAGGAAGCCTGTGAGGCATTTTATCTGATTGGTCATCGTCCTCATCCTCCTCCTCGTCATCATCATCAGCAAGCGAATTTGGCTGTGAAACATTATTGGAACCAATTCCTCCAGCAATAAAAGAACTAGTAGAAGACGTTGAAGAAGACAAAGAATCCATAGATGATGACGATGAGGCTGAAGGTCCTTTTACTGTCATTATCCAAGGGTCGTCTACATCATTGTCTCCTCGACGTAAGGTGTCATCACTGAAAGGAAATAGAATTTTGTATTTCAATATTTACGTTTTTGGAGACTCTAAAAATTACGGCAACCATACTTGTCAGAATCAGACTCAGTTTCAGACTCATCACTTCGTTCAAGCCTCCACTTTCTGTATCTGTCTATTAAATCAATTAAGTAGGAGTTTTTCTTTGCTCTTCTGATGAATGGAAATTTTAATAGTTCTTTCGCTGTAGGTCTGTTTTCTGGATTCTTATTTAAACAGGCATCGACAAATTCTTTGAATAATTTTGAATATCTCGACGAGGATAATGTTGGAGGTGGATTTTTAGGGATTAGAAATAAAACTTTCATAGGATGCATTGTGGAATTTGGTGGTTCTCCTATAAAAAATTGAAAGGGTCAATTTAGTTGCATGCATATAATAAATGAAAATCTTCAATTAAATGATTTTCAACACACCTTCGGCAAGTTCAATGGCAGTTATTCCTAAAATGCGTAAAATAAACTGGTAAATAAATTGATATTTATTTTTGATGTAATTAATTTAAAATTTCGTACCCAAGGACCAAATATCCGCTTTGGCATCATACGCACTCTGCTTTATAACTTCTGGAGCCATCTTAACGTAGAAAAGAATAATAATTATATTTTTAATAAAAATGAACTGATAATGTCCAATAAATAATGTTCATACTTACCCAGAACCTATTTGAAAAATAAACAAATATCATTTAGAAATTTTGTGACACAATGAGTTGGCCAACAGTAATAATGAACAACTTACGGTGTTCCAACGAATGTATTCCTTTTCGATGTCGTAGCCTTTGGAGGAAAGAGAAAAGCTATGAATAAACTGACACAATGTTTTATAGAATTAAACGTGTTCAGATTTTACCGTCAACTGTCCCGCAACACCGAAATCAGCTAATTTGACGTCCCCATGTTCGCTCAGCAAAACGTTTGCCGCTATAATAAAATAATAATAAAACAGTCAACATTGGTAGTTAAATTACATTACAAGGTCACCAACCAAACTTTTTACGTACATGTGTATACTGTCAAAAAAAGTAGTATGTACCTTTAATGTCCCGATGCAATTTTCTCTCCGAGTGAAGATAGTCTAATCCTTTCAGAACTTCGCGAAGGATGATAGAAATGTGGATCTCTTCGAAAGATTTCTCTGCTTTCTGAAAACGAATGAATGAAACGAAAGAATTACGAAATGAAGCAAAACGTTGTTTTTGGGAAATCTAAATTATTAAAAATATAATTTACCATCAAGTCTAGCGCAGATCCACCTAAAAATCATTTATTTATTAAACTTGTTCAAAAAATTACCCTACCCATTTGTATTATTTATACAAACCTCCCAAGAATTCCATAATAATCCATAGCTTAGTTCCTTTCAAGTATGACCCAAAATATTTTGTCACGAAAGGAGAGTCGCCTGAAATAAATATTACACAATTTTTGAATATTAGAGAACACGCTGGTCGCAAATAAACTTTCTCCATTTCATCTCTCCTTAATCACTGTGAGATTAAACAAGGATAATTGTTGACTCACATTGGCTGAGCACCTATAAAACAATAAAAACGAGTATTACAGATGACTCTTAAATTTAATTATGACTAGTTAACGATTTTTCTTTACCATAATCTCCTGTTGGATATCTTCTATCTCATCTTCTGCTTCCTCCAAATCAATTATCTTAATAGCAACCACTTCTTGTGTTCTTTTATCGATTCCTTTAAATACTTCACCAAATGAACCCCTTCCAATTCTCTCTTGTTTCGTGAATATCAGCTCCGGATCAACTTTCTGGAATTTTTTAAGATTGTTCATGTTACTCAATGATTGATTCATTTTTTTTAACTTTAACACAAAACTAGAATTGTTTATTAATGGTATCAAACAGTCGATTTTTTTAGTTTTCAAATTATCGTTCGGTAAGTACGGAGCATTGACTAAACGCTGATTTTATTAACTTCATTGTCCTCACATTTCATTTCACTGAGTCAGGGTTGAGCATATTGCAATCGAAATTAATTGCGATGTTGTACGTATGTACATATTCACCTCACCTATGTACATATGTATTATAACTTTTATATTATGTGGTTTTTATCGGTATCTCACACCTATTATAAGCCCCACAATATGCAAATATACAAATTTATAGCATCTCGCACACATACATGGCATTCCGATTGGTGTCATCACATAATTTATATCTACAAGGTAGTAGAGATAAGCAAGATCATGGGTGGATTCATGGAATGGCGAGGTGCGGAGGGAGACTTGTGGATTAATTATTCTACACTGAATTGTTGATAAACGCCTTAGTCAAGGGCAGAGGAAGAAATAATGGTCTATACATTTTGGAATTTAAGGGATCAAGAAATTTGAAACCAAGATAAAATATAGAGCCATAAATATGCCATAATTTATATGGATTCCGATGTGATCTGATATGGTTTTGCATAATGAAATTTTCAAGCATCGGCCACTTCACGTATCGAGATTTGAAGAGCAAGAAGAAATTACAAATTTAAGTACGTTTAGGTGGGTATCAGTCAAAATATCTACATTGTCAATTTGCGTTGCTAAAAATGAATTTGTGTGTAATTCAGTAAACCAGATCGTACATGTTTATTTTAGGTATGTAACACATCCTTAAACTCGTTTACTTGTATCAATACAAACAATGACATGAAATATGACACATTATCACACATGCCATAATTTGTAATGGTTGGTATGTGATCTATGATAAATTGAACTTAATTTGACGGTTTTTTATTGCTTCTGTATATCCAATATTAATTACACAAGGACATGTGCTTCTGCAGATTATATTGATGTTATGTTGAGACTTTTGTTTATTACAAATTGGATAACGGAAATATGGTGTGAATTTAAATACTTTATAATGAAATATGTTTCAAACTATTTTATTTTAATCGAGCAATACAAACAAACATAACACCGGTTTAAAGATATGTTAACCAAATTAAGAAAACAATGATACGACCTGGTTTATTAAATTAAAGAAAAACAGAACAAGGTAAATTTAAATAAATCACTTTTCATTAATTACGCAAATATCATCCGAATCATAAAAGGAATATATCCTTATGCCGTCTTTTTAATTTAAAATCATGACACCCACCTCCACACATATTATACACAGACTGATCATTGCCAGACCATCGTAGCAAGATAATCATGATTCACGACGATGCATATGGCCAAAAGCCAAAGTATAATTACCAAGTAGGTGTGTAAATTGTAAAAAAAAGTCCGCTTGTTCGTGGTGAACAGAAGAAAAGCAGAATCAGACAACAAACAAACTAGAAATGAATAGAGGACAACGCAGAGGGTTTTGACATTGCATTACATGACCATCACAATGTACAATTTAGTTCACATTCGTCATTCGTCACCAATTCAAAAGAAACACATACAACAATCGCCAATGATCGTATGCATGCATGCAATAAAATGTCCTCTCATCTCGACATTTACTTACCTGAACGCAACATATGCACCCAAACATTTACTTGAATTGAACATTGAACTTGGTTGGCAATCCTCAAGTTTGCAAAGTCCCAGAAATACCGACTGACTGTTTATATAACCTACGCAATCTGTTCTTTTTCAATTGTTAAAATAATATGCCACCATGTTCAATATTTAAATGAAAGGATGTAACTACAAATCAATTTAAATGACAATGATGAGATGACGAGATTTTGTCGTTCTTGAATTTATCTAATTTAATTTTGCGCGTCATATTGATACGAATATCGTTACGATACCTATTAAATATTCTGCAACAGGAGAGAGAGATTGAAGGAAGTAAGAAAGGAAAGACCTCTTTTCATGGTAAATAGGTGACACGAACGGATGGAAATAAAGTAAGTAACAAGGACTAATAAAGTAACAAGGACTCAAAACCAGTCTTTATGAAAAAGGGTTGACTTCCTGTAGCAATGTTTCTACATCATACTTGTTCAGGCTGTTCAATTATTAGTAGCCATGCTTGATAATCATAATGCCACATGTACTAGCTTTTACTATCAGTAATAGTATCTTTATTCTTTCCTGGTTTAAAATAATATTAGATTGTACTTTTTATGTTTCTCCTGCAATAAAAATTATATTGACTACGTGAAGCTTTCGCTTTGATATTGATGTGAAAGCCAATCCATACAGTAGTCAAATCATACACCTTTGCTTTGTCAACCGCTGTTACTTGTAGGTAAATATTACTTTTACACAAATAATGTCCCATGCATTTGTGCAAACTGTTTAATGAAGGAAACAAAAAGTGCAAACATACCTCATTGAACGACATGATGAGACTGAATGGTAATCGACGACCACAAGTGAGCAGTAGACTTGCAGGTTGTTGGATTTATTATTCGTATCGAACGAAACGATTATCTATTTTTGCACCCTTGTTGTGTTTGTTGCTTGATTTGATGTATTATCCTGTGACATTAATTTGAGTCGATAAATTGAACAGTTGGCACTTGTAGTAATATCCCGTTCATTCACAATATTATTATCATAACACTGTCCAAGTCACAAAATGAGATCTGCTTTGCTGGATGTAGGCAAAATCTAATTTCGTTCTGTTGATTTTGGACTTTTTCATCAAAGCACTGCTTCACACCAGAACAAGAGCGGATAGAATTAGAATAGAAGTAAAGTAATAATAATAAATCTTTGTGTCGACAAGCACGACGATGTGTGTGAACTGAGCGTAGTTACATGTTATTTTTCGAATCACAATTTACTGAAATTATCACATTTCAGAATTTCACTATGAGGAAGTTTTAATTGCTGAAGAATGGAAGACCATTAAAAATTAATCCATCAATGATCACTCACTGCATTCTAAGTACTTTTTAACTGTTCAAATGTATTGAATCAATTGGATGATGAGAAAGTTGTTTCCAACGTCGACACAGAGCAGGACTTTCTGACCTTCAATAGTCAGTGATGCAATTTTCTTGGTCTGTAAAAAGGAAAATTTCAATTGTTCCATTATTATAATGCATCAAAAAAGTATTGATATATGAATGACTTATTGTTTGTTACGTAATGTAAATCATAATACAACATCAAAACGAACCTTTAAACTGTTGTCCATTGTTTAAATTCCAGTTTCATATTCTTGGGAGTGTCCTCCCCATCTTGAACGAAAATTTCCAGATCCGGTACTCAATTGCTACCTAATCTGGTGTAAGACGGCAAGCCTGCGGCGAATGAAACAGAATAAGTTGAATTAGAATCACGCAACGTATATCAAAAATCCCAATTATTCCTAATCCTCCATCCTCAAATGTTGTATTTTGTTAAACGTAGATATAAAATCGCAACAATCAAAGCCGGAATTTGTCCCATTAATATCCCTCCTCTCTATTCCAATCAAATACTTTGCATTTGATTACTTTTTTGACCGCTCGTCATTCCACCTCTCCTGTCCGTCAACCATTTCCAATTTCTTTAGCACTATCCGTACGTTAAATTAGAGGACAAACGGACAAAACAAAAAAGTCACCTCGACAACTACCCCACAACTAACCTGCTTATTATCCGCACGTCCCAAGCAATTAATTCAAGTTAATTTAACTCGGCTCAAATTACTTTTGTTGGCTGAGTCAACAGTGTGTTGTTTAATAGCAGTAACGTATGTGTTAAAGTTAAATGAAATATATAAAAGTTATCGAAATAGGTGAAGTCAGGTTTAGTGAGCCGAGAACGAAACCAGCAGCAGCCAACAAAACTCGACTCTCTTCTCGTAAAGGAAATCAGCCAACATTATTTTATTCCCCCTCAATGCAATAGTCAATGTTATGTTATGATGCTGTATGTTGTGTTAGCACTTTACTTTACTCGCACTGTATTTAATTCAGAGACTAAACCCTCTTCTTCTATCGTCGTCGTCGTATCCTGATCATGTAGTTTTTGACGTGAAATAATAAATGTAATGTTCAATTGGCTTTTTATCATCACCAAGAACCACTACTTACTATATCCAATTTAACTCTGCTTGATATTTACCTGGTCTGGTGGTGATGGTGGTGGTGGACAATTCTTGTTTCGAGTTGAGTGACTGCTGCATATACATATTATTTATACAGCTCTGCTAAAAAGAATCAACCAACGTGAACACCATGTTCAATCAACATTGTAATGTAATAAAAGTGGTGGATGTGGATATAGAGGAGGGAGATTGAGATTAATACTGACTGCTTTTTAGCCGCAGTGAGCAACTAACACAGGCCAAAAGTTTGTAATAATGTGCTTTCCTCTCTCTTATTATTATTAGTAAACCACTAAAAAACTTACACTTTGTAAGTATAAGAGAATGTATATACCTTGTGATGATTCCGTATGGTTCTTCTGTCCCCATTACTTGATCATACGGCACGTCATTGACTTATTTCTTGCTTGGGTCAGTCTTTTCTTTTTAAGCAAGTTAGTTAGTTTAGTGCATAGATAAACCAAACCATAAACCACTGACTTGCGAATGTATGCCTGCTGTGAAGAGATTGGAGAAAGTATATGAACATAAACGATGTAAATGTGCAGGGGCGGCTGGAGAAAGCAGATTTTGTCGGATACGAATTTTATGTACTTGATTTTAAATTAGTGGGATTTTGTGATAGGTTCGATGTTATATAATAACGATAATTATTATAGGTAATGTCAAACTATGACTCATGTATGTTGTGGAGTTGTGCCACCCCTGTGCTTTTCCTGTATGAAAAATACGTAATACTCGTCGCCAATCCAAATGGTCGGTTGATATCGTATTAGCAGTGGTAGTGGTTTTGGTTTGTTTTTGCAGCTGCCAGCCCTCATCTGCCAACTTTCTCGCAGATTCGCCACTTTGTGCAGCAACGAGTTTTGGCAAGTTCTGAACAATTTGCTGGTTCTGGTGTTTCCGGAGGCAGAGTGAGACGTGTGAGAAGCGCGGGGTTGCTGTTCGTATGCGCCAGCCAAGGGACTACTGCATTTGCATATCATTTGCATTCACAGTGCGAATTCAGAGTGCGAGACGGCACGAGTCTATTTCATTTTTGCGGGCCAATTATTATGTAAGTTTTACTAATAATTACTGTTTTTGAAGTGCGGAGGGATTATCAAGGTAGGCGAGGTTATCATTTGACAGAGACAATGCTTTCTGTAAAAATTGAGTAGCTTTGCAAAGTTCACGGCCACGGCCACGAAATGCCACGATGCACGAGGTCAGGGTAGAGTAGAGTAGTCTAGAAGTTATAGATACGCTTAAACTGAAGCGCATTATGCGATACGAGCCACCTCGGTGATTGCCATTTGAACAAGTAGCTGTCTATTTTCTAATAATAAAAATTTCTATTTTAGCTAAGAAATGGCAGACCGAGGACGTGGAGATGGACAAGAATTTGAGGAAAGTGGTGGACCTGCACCAGTAGTTGCACCAGCAGGAGGAGGAGGACCGGCAGTTGACGTCAATTCTCCAGCGGCGCAGGAAATCGTAAATTCTTTGGTGACAATGGGAATTTCGCGACCTGTCGCTGAAATGGTAAGTCGAAATATAATTGTTATGAGGAATTATGTTGTTGAAAACAGTATTTGGTTCTAGGCTGTGCGCGAAACGGGAGCAGATACTGCGGAAGGAGCGATTGCGTGGGTATTTGAAAACGATATGGGTGGTGCCTCTGGGGGTGATGAAGATGAATTGTACCAAGACTTCAAGATGGTATTTGTTGTAAATACTTCCTTGCCTATGACACCCGGAAAAATGGCTGCTCAAGTAATATTATTTATTGTTACAAAATGTGGTTTAAGATGATTTAATTCAATTGATCATCTAATAATAATGATGGATAGGTTGGACATGCCGCTTTGGGGCTTTATCAAGATCTAATTAGCAAGCAGGATACCTTTGGTGGGCCTTTGCTTCAATGGAATGAAAATGGGTACTTTGTTCTTTTCTCATACATCATCATGTAATATTTGATTAATAATTAAGATGACTAATTTACATTTTCTCCTTTAACAAGGTCTAAAAAGATTGTTCTTCAGTGCACCGATGCAGCACACATGAACGAATTGGCAACTCAAGCTGAAAAGGTGGGACTCCCATTCCACATTATTCAAGATGCCGGACATACACAAATTCCTGCTGGGTCTCAGACCGTGTTGGCCGTTTTTGGAGTTTCGAAGGAAGTGGATAAAGTTACTGGTCAATTAAAACTTCTTCCCTAGCAATTTTGTTACCATATACAGATATATATATAATATAGTTGGCTACCTGATTATTGATCCGGTGGTATGTACGTATGTGGTATACATTATTACTGCGATAATATTTTTATGTGTAATAATGTCGATGACCTTTTTTTGTATTACATATTTTCTACTCGAATATGATGTTAATCATTTTGTGTTGAATACATGTCCTTGTTGATATGAATAATTATGTCTATGTGAGTAAGTGATTGCATTTAATCTTCGAGGAGATCTTGACTCTTGTCTCCAACTTATTCTAATTATCCAATAAGTTTATCGACTATAGTCAAATATTCCTTGGGCATGGCATGACTCGAACGAAGCGAGGTGTAATTTGACCAAACTTTTGAATGTGGCATTTAGTCGAATTTAGTCCTTGCTGGAAGATAGTAGTTGAAAGATTTGCTTTCTGTTCAGTAAGTTCGTCTCTGGTCATCACCTCTGGTTTACTGGGGCTAATTGTGCTTCAATCGTAGCTTGTAGTTTGTCTTCGATCTTCATCATGAAATCGGTAATTATTTTTTAAACTCTTTTTAATTTTTTTTGCTAAATTGAACTTGACACTGGGTTATATGGTATATTTTACTAATCTAATACTCATTTCTTTACTTTTTCTGATTTTACAGATCTTCATAGTCTTGGCACTGGTTGCTGTAGCTGCATGCGCCGAGGGACCCGTCGTCAAGAGAAGTCCTCAACCACAACCTCAACCCGCTCTTCAACAACCCCTTGCAGCTGAACCACACCCACCTCATCAGCAAGCACGTCGAGATGCTGAGGGTCCATATTATGGTGGAGGCGACAAGGGTGGATATGGATATGGAGGCGAGAAAGGTGGTTATTACGGCGAAAAAGGTGGATATGGCGAGAAAGGTGGTTATTACGGCGAAAAAGGTGGATATGGATATGGAGGCGACAAGGGTTATTACAAAGGTAACACTTATTGCTGTTTATGGTAGTTTAACTCACAAATGAGATACCTTGACAAACTAATTGTTTTGCAGGTGGATATGACGGTGGGTATAAGGGAGATTATGATGGCGATGGCTATGGCTATGGAGGTCACGGGAAGGGAGGCTATTATGGTAATATCATGCAATACACTGTATAAGTGGGCGTTTTTTATTAGTGTCCCTGTTCTAGGAGGGTATGAGAAGCACAATGGTTACGGTGGCGGCTATGGGGGCTGTTACAAGAAGGGATGCTGCTGCCCTTGCTACGATGACTATGACTATAAGGGAGATAATTACTATGGTGGATATGGTGAGAATTTCATAAAGTTTTCCTTGATTAGTAGTCATTTTCTTCTGTGCCCCTGGCAAAAAATATTGTTGAATTTGAAGTTATAAATACGTATAGTTCTCCTTGATCATTAGTACTAAATTTCATCTTTGTTTAATTTTTAGGTGGTTACGGTGGTAAGAATTCATTTTCATTTCTATTTTTAAGAAGCATGACTATCGTTTAAGAATATTTTGTTAATTTTAGGCGGTTATGGGGGCGGTTATAGTGGCGGTTATGGGGGTATGTTCTTATCATATCTTAAGAGGTTTTCTTATCATTTTCATTTTTATTGATTACTATTAATGTTGCTGTTTCTTTGTCTATTTCGCTCAGGTGGTTACGGCTACTAATCTATCATCGTCTTATCATCGTCTCTTATCCCCGGTGAAACATCAAAATTACTACCAACAATTAAATTATAACATCTATATTTATATATTCGATCTAATTCACCTGTTAACCATTCCATCTTGATTGGGTTTATTATTAAATCTTTATCTTAGCTAAACCCTCTTGTGTTGTTCTCATAATAATTTCATTATGCATTTAGAGACTTTTCGCATCGCTTACTCATATTTCTCACAATGCTCATATCATGCTAGTCATGCCACCACAATTAATAGTATCCGTCTTTCACTCAATTTATCCCTCATAATTTTCATCATTCTGTTGTATTTATTACCTTAAGCTACTTAAACCAATATTTTTTACATAGAGTTTGACATTATCGATCCACAATAAACTAACTCGCATTAATGACTAAACTTTGCATAATGCCACTGCAATAAACTAAAATCTTGGTCCAATGTCCCTTCCTAGTCCCAGCGATAAATGGACCCCGGTGACTTAATGCCAGCCCCTCCTGCAGCGTTCGCATCCCTAAAAACAATCATCACGGTCATAATATTTGCACTAACAAATCCTTATGCATCGCTTAAATTAAATTCCACTTACTTTGACCCTTCTGCTGGCAACAACTTGGTCTTTGGCGACGATCCATCCACCACGACGACAGGCGGTGCAGCCTCTCTCCTCCCATCTCTTAGGACGTAGTGATTTTTCGACATTTTGTGTGCCTCTCCGTCTGGGAGAATTGGGTCAGGCTGTGTCCTGGCTGCGACAAGGGGCGTGTACCGCAAAGCTGCTCGTTCTGGGACATGTTTTCTCTATAAAATACACCCCAGTAAATTATTTAGATTAGAACAACCAACCCAAAAGTATAATCAAAATTGGAAAGCAAAACTTACACCAAGCAAAAAATTCCGAGCTTTTTGCAACAATGGAGAAATGTTTCGCGCTTTGAGTGGCGCTTGAGCCATTGTTATGCTTATGCTAATTAATTAATTATGGGAGTTAACCAGTATTACTTAGAAAATGATAACAACAAATAGTACGACGAAGAACTCGATCTCAAACTGGAATTTTGTTAAAATATAAGACTTTTCTCATCCTGCCGCTTGTAAATATTTTGCTTTGCCCCAAGTTCTGATCTTTTAATTTCTCCTTCGACTCTACTTCCGGTTTATGCTTTCACCTTATGAATTTCGTCTTAAAATGGACTAAATCAAGTGAAGATCAGCAAAATAGCAGTAATTCATTCACTCATTTATTTTTCAATCTCATTCTAAGCAACTTTTGCAGATTTAGCACAACATCACTCATTTAGCTAAATATTAAATATTATTATTGGTTTCTGTCTCTGAATCCATTTCTAGAAAGTTTTCCCTACTGGTGGAAGCAAGAATTTGGACTTTTTTGAGCAATTTGTCATTCTTGTGGGCAGCCGAGACGTATTTATGTTTCAGATGAGATATCAATTTTCTCAAGGATGCGACTTCCTCATTCCTATCATCAATTATTCTCCGTAGCTTATCCGCATCACATTTGGAAGCATTGATAACTGAACTCAGCTCTTTTCGGAGAAGCTCTTCATTCGAGTCTCGAATAGAGTTGATTAAATCTCGGTCTTTGAACTGCATACATGAAATGAATACAAGAAAAAATTTAGAGACTTTAGAGATGGGATGAATATTTCTAGTTATCACATATTTAACATATTTTAATACCTGTTTGCCTAATTGCTCATTTATCTCGGCAAGCTGCCTATTCATTTCCAACTGGGCTTCAAACTTATTCTGCAAATGGGTGAGTTGAATTTCGTAACTGTCCTTGAGTTGATTTAAATCAGTTCGTTCGACGAATTGATTGCTGATCGCTTCTCGGAGACGAATAACCTCAGACTCGATTTTGTCCTTCATGCTAGTCAAATTAGCAAATGTCTGTTTGTCCTTTTCTGCATTTTTCACGAAAGCGTAATGTTGCTGTTTCTCAAAGGCCAAGTCATATTCGAGACGCTGGATTTGAGACTTGTACTCGTCTTCCTTATCTTCTTCATAGTTATTGTTATCTTCATCGTCAGTTACAAAATCATCTTGAATTTGAATCGTCTGACCACTAAAATCGCTAGTCTCAGGCGGTGGTGGTTTTATAACATTTTCACTTTCTTTCGCCTTTTCTTGTACATTTTCTTGAAGAGATTTTAACTCTTGGCTAATTTGTGAATTGTTATTTAGCAAGTCGGCAACTTGTTGTTCTAAATATTTTCTCGATTCTGTCAACATTTCCTTCTCCTTTCTGGTAGGGATACAGATTAGATATCGCATTAATGTAAAACATATCATTAAATTAAAATGCATAATTCTACATACTCTAAACTCTGAATGTCAGCTTTGTACTGGTCAATTTCATCAGCATAATTATCAGTACTTTGACCAAAGTCATTCACGACTGGCTTAATGAGTGCTTTTTCTAGTTCGAGACTAATTTGTGTATTGATGTTGGATAACTGAATGACTTGTTGTTCCAGACAAGTTTTAGATTTTTCCAACATTTCTTTCTGCTGTCTACATGTAACAATGTAAATGTTAACATATTTATTACTTTTTGTTGTGGGGCGTTTTTTGAAACTTTTTTAAGTATAAAATACCCACTCTAAACGTTGAATGTCAGCCTTGTACTGGTCACATTTAGGTGGGGATTGTGGTGGTAATGAATTGCTGTCATTTCCATTCGGATTTTGGTTTCCGAACAACCCTCCACCACGCCCACCAGGACCAGGGCCCCCAGGACCACTCCCACCACCACCCCAGGGACCACCACCACCACTCCCACTTCGTGCTTTCCTCTTTTGTTCTTCACAGTCTCTCAGTTTCCTTTCGAGGTCTTCTCTGCATCCTTTCTCCTCAGCGTATAAATCTTCCAGTCTCATTTTTTCTGCATTTATCCTGTCCAACTCGACATGATGAGCTTGCAAAATCCGAGTGTACTTTTGACAAGAGCTTGCTTGCTGAGTTTCTAAACATTTGACTTGATCATGAAGTTTTTCAATGATTTGGTCATTAAGGCATTTTGAAGTCTCATATTTCTCTCGGAGACAGTCCAATTTCCGCTGTAATTAAATATGTAATATTGCAGATAATTAGCAGTTAATTATCGATGATAATTATGTAATAATTAAACTATTTATTACAAGTAACTCGTCTCTTTCCCTCAGTAAATCATCCCTCTCTCTGTTCGCCTTGTTAACCTCAGCATGCAAACATCCAATTTGTTTCGTCAATTCGTCCACTCTTGCACCTTTTCATGAAACATTTTTTTCATAAAAAGAACAGTCTATCAAAATTTTTAAATTTCCAGTCCACTTACAACAATCAGCCAACCCTTGCTTCAAATCATTCTGCAAACCCCCAGTTTTCTTTGCGTTACTTTGATGAACTGTCAAATTTTGGTACAACTCGTCCCGTTCGCATTGCAATGCTAAAAGACTTTGCTGACCCAATTCAAGGCGTCGACTCGTGTCTTCGATTTGCATGCATAATTGATCCCTTTCCGCAATCACGACACAAAGTTCTTGATCAATCGTGTTGATTGCTTTCTTTAATTCCATTACTTGACACTCAAGACTGGAGCGAAGTTGGACTTCTTCGTCCAAATATCCCATCACTTTGGTCAACTCTTGGTTTAAACGGGCAAGTTCTTTCTCCAGTTGGGCATTCATTTCTTCCAAGCATTGTATCTGTTCTTGAAATTTGCATTGATCTTCCTGTTATTCAGTCCAGGTAGAAATAAAAACATCAAATTTACTTGAAAATTCAACAATAAAATGTTATTTCAGTACCGCAAATTGAAATACGCCTGGAGTATTCATGGTGGAACATAGTTTTATGTACATGCATTGTATCTGATTTAACAGAGCAACGATGACTTCCGAGTTAGGATTTTCTAGAGAGATTGTGTCATAATTTATGTATACATCGAGTGATACGCTATTAACATGATGTAAAATACGAACCAGGACTTGTTGTAGCACAGAAATCAGGTACTAAATGCTTGCTGGAAAAAATTATATTGGATCAATTTTTTCAATAACTAATTTGCGACTATATTTTTAAATTTTGTATTATATATCTACATATCTAATTGAGCCAATTATTAAAGCATTACTACATATAATCATTAATCATGAGCTATGAATTATAGTTACCCTCTTTTGGATAGCATTTTGGCGACGTTATTGCCGAAATAGCTTTATAATATGGTTTCGATTCAAACAAAATGTGTTACAAAATTGATATAAAGGTTGAAATTGTGAAATAAGCAACTAAATTGCCGTACATTTTACATTCAGTTGTTAAATGTCTATAAAGATGTGCATAGCAACCTAATTTCTTCATCTGCCATTACTCATGACTCATGAGTACAGAAGTCCTATGATAGTTTGATTTGAATGAGCCGAATAGCTTCATCATATCGTACACAGTAATTAAGTGTACTGAGGAAATGAAATGACGGCATTAAATTAAATTACTGATGCGAACCGAGCTCTATAATTATTGGACGACCACCTACGCGATTCATATTCAATTTAAGATTTTTTTCCACAAGAAACCACGCATGATTCAATTGTATATTCAATCATGGAACAATTTTTATTTATAATTTGTAATTATAACTTTTATCATGGTTTTCGCACGTGTAAAATAAGGTTCACTATAATGTAAAAGTACACAACATCCTGTAATTTAATGAAAGGTCGGCAATTCTGGGACCTATATAAACATGGCACATATATTTTAGTAATTTCAGTCATCATTACTTCAAAGAGTGCCGAAAAGTTATCCCGAAATTTATAAATTCCGATTGTTTTTAAAAGTTTAGTTTCTGTGTATCAAGTGAAAGTCGTTCTTTACAATGCAACCCACGCTGCACTTTGTGCTACTTTGTACCATTGGTGTACTGCATTTTCAGGTATTTCATTTCATCAGGAATTGTGCAGGAAAAGTCTTTTATCCGCTGATAAGCTTTGATTATGTAAGGATGGTGTATTTGCCGCGGAGGAAAAACCGTGCAACGCTGTGGTTGCAGACCTCACCAAGAAACAACTTGGAGGAATTTCGGCATGCACAAAGGCTTTGAAGTTCAAGGATGCAAAGGAAAAGGCTAAGAAAACGACATGCATTATGAAATGCGTTTTGAAGAAGGAAGCCCTTGTGAGTGCATAAATTAACTTTCGCCACATTTGCTTTCACCACATTTGTAAATTAGTTGAAAGATCTCAGGTATTTGTAATTGGGGTAAAGTATACAATTTCTTATATTTATGTAGCTGGACGAGAAAGGACAACTCACGCTTGAACAATTTGACAAGTTTTTGGCAAAACATTTCCCCGACAGCATGACTGAAAAGGCGAATTCAACCTTCAGACCGTGTGTGGATGGAGCATGTAATTACAAATTTCATCGTATAACAATTTGAATTAGCTGACAAAAATTGTTATTACTCAATTTAAATTACATCTGCAGTGAAAGGAATGGATGATACAGAAGAGTTTTGCAAGGATTACGACCCCATGATTAAATGTAACAAGCTCGAAATTTCGTGTAAAGTTTTATTTATTTAACTGTGCTTTATTTTAATCAAATAACTATTTACAGGTCTACTGAGCACTTTCCCCAACGTAAGCTAAAATTCTCTCAATTAAGCATGTATACAAACTTTAATTTGTTATTTGCGATGATTTCTGTAGATGTGCAAAACTTGAAAAATGGGCCCAGCAGCTTTGAATGGTTTTGACGATTTTTCGATTTTGGTAGCTTTTTATTATAATAGACTTAGGTATTTACTTTACCACTATGTTTTGGTTATTTTGTCCATTATTCCCTTTTCCGAAATTATTATACTGGTCACTTGTAGTAAAACTTTTATGATCCAAGTCAACTTCAACCAACTATCTATGTATATTCCTCAACTAGAAATAAATTGACATAGGTTTGACATTGATCATCTCATGAATCCGTTAATTGCCTACCAGTGATATGTAGGTGCCTTGCTTCCGGTGCTAATGAGCAAAAATATTGCTGGTACTAAAATTTAAAGACCATTATTGACCGTTCGACCATAGGAAAAATTACACCTTTATAGCTTTTTGCTGTTAATTAATAAAATCTGTCAATGTGTGATTTATCAAGTTATCAATAAGGCACGAAATCCTGAATCTATAAAATGTAGAATGCAAGGTAAGCAATTTCCTCACAATTTCGCAGTGATTCATCACAAAGTTCGGAAAATCATGGCAGTTTTGTCATCCACAGTTTCATTTTTGAGCATTTTGCTCAGCATTTTAGTCTGTTTGCACCATGTGGTAAGATTTTAAAAAAACTTTACAAATTTTTTCTTAGTGTAAATACAAAATTGAATTTTCACTTTAGGAATCTGACAAAAGCTGCAAGCAAATCATGGCTGACATGACGAAGAGACAATTGTCCGGAATTACTAAATGTATTAAGGGGATGAAGTTTAAAAACGGGAAAGAGAAAGCAGCCAAGATGAACGTAGGAAATTTAAATTAAATCTATAATTGTTTTACTAAAATTAATAGTTTCTTCACGACAATCTTTTTCTAGTGTATCATGAAATGTGCAATGGAAAATGAAGGACTGGTATGTCAAAATAGTCAAAAACGGACTTATTTGAGACATTAAACAAATGCAACTATGTAACAAAAATATTTTTTCAGGTAAGTAAAACTGGAGATATCTCTCGAGAACAAATTGACGAAATTTTGATACGAGAATTCCCCTCGTCATTGCTTGAGAGGGCAAATGCAACATTTCAGCCGTGTGTTGAGAAATATGGTAACTACTTATCTGTAGACTTATCATTTCATAATCCACTTGAGAATTTAAAAGGATTGACAACTTTTCAGCTGGAACAATGGACGCAAATCCTGAGACGGATCCATTATGCGGTATTAATATGCGATATTTACTAATTATAATTAATCTATATACATATGTATTTGTTAAAAAATTGCTACTTTTTAAATACAGCAACCTACGATCCTGTCATAAAATGTTTGATTTCTGCACTTCCAAATGTAATTCAAATATTTTTTCGATGTGAAATTTTATGGACTAATAATTTTATTTTGCTTTAATAGCTCTGTCCTCCAGCTTAAGAATCATTCAAACTGGACACATTATTGCTACATGCATTTGCACTGAATAAAATGACCTGCCACAATAATAAAATTACAATTTACTAGTTATTCGTTGGTTGGTTCTGAATTCTGATTATTATTTATGACACTTTAGGTAATGGTTTATTTAGTAGACCGGAAGCATATTTTTATTGTGATTTTTTTTTCGTGAAATAAAAATTTCTCTTAAAACAAAAAATCCTTCGCATTTTTAAGTTTTCTTGTTATTGTGCATGAAACTAGTATTTAAAAATCTATTGTTCATGATCCACGTGCAGTAATTAAATATGACATCGATCAGAATAGGTTATCATTATCAGGTAGTGATACTTTATGCGTACAACAATGAAAATTTTGTAGACATTGCGCTGTCTGTTGACCTGGTCGTCCTTTCTGTTGTACATATTTATTATTACCTGCCACATGCATACCTACACCGGACATTCAAATAAAAATTTCCACTGCAAAAATGTCAACTCGTGCATGTATTTATCTCTGTTGTTGTATTCCCAGCACAAAAAACCTATTCATGAATGATAGGTAACTAATAATATTAGCAATTATTGTTCAATTAATACAACTTCTTGATCGATATGAAACATGGGCAATCCTGGTACAATGAAAATGAAATATCTTGCCTGATGATACGATGTATGAATATTACACGTTATGAAAATTGCGATGCTTCCGTTACGTCACCTAAAAATGGTAATAAAAGATTGGACCAACTTCATTCAAAGAGGTCATTTTAGTTTTAAGAACAGGACACCGGACAGGGCACCCAGTGGGGGAGGACGACACAGTTTTTGAAAATTTGTCACACGGTATCGTAAGGAATCGCTTTAAAATGCGAGTCGTGTTAGCCGTTACGTTCGTGTCGCTAGCTTTCACTTACTTTGAATTGGTAAATTTTAGTGATTTTTTTATAGGAATGTTGTCAATTTTGGTGTAGGAGAAAGCAAAAATAATTAAATATTTCCATTCAGGACATAGTGAGGGCTGAGGAGAAATCATGCAAGCAGGTCATGGCAGATCTTACTAAGCGTCAGCTTGGTGGTATTTCTGCATGGTTAGTGACTCGTAATTCGAATTAAACAATTTCTTGCCTGTTTTACTATTTATTATGTTTAATTTTTTACAGTGGGAAATCCCTAAAATTCAAAAATGGAAAAGATAAAGCAAAAAAGATGAATGTAAGTGCAGTTGAAAAAAGTTCGAGTAGTTATTATACCATGAAATTACATGAGGCTAATTGTTTCAGTGCATTCTGAAATGTGTCATGACGAACGAGAAAGTGGTGAGGAAGCGTTACTTACAATTAGCTTTACCAATTAACCTTAAGGACGATATGTACATGTGCCTTTGTTCGATTTAGCTAAATGCGGAAGGATATTTTGATGCGACACAGTTGGATGCATTGATTATTAAGGAATTTCCACCATATTTGCATGAGAAGGCCAATGCATCTTTTATGCCATGTTCTGAGAAAGGAGGTAAGGAAATTGATACGGAAAAAACATTAAACTTCCATTCCTACCTTATCGCCTTAATATAATTCAGAAATTTAATGTCCACAATTTGATATTTAGCTACAATTGATCCAAATCCTGAAACAGACGAGTTCTGCAAGTCGTATGATCCATTTATAAAATGTAATGTTTATTTATTTTTTGCTTTTGTGAAGGCTCTGATTAATGTAAATTCTTACGGATTTACTTTAATCTATAGGTCTTCTAGGATCATTGCCTACCGTAAGTCTAATTGCACTGCAATTACTTTATGCAAACCTAATTTATTTTACGAATTGATTTATAGCTTTGCGGATAAAAATATAGGACATCCCCTTCACTCCGACGTGATTCTGAAAACATTATATATTTTTTTGCACTTGAATAAAAAAATCCCAACTCAACTTCAAAATCCGTAAATATCACATTTAATTTATTAGTTCTTAAAGGTTTGCAGTGTCGATATGATATAATACATAGTTACATATTATGGATGCATGACTAAGAAAACAACGGGTTGCATTTTTGTATGTGCTTCACTGGTTTACATGATAAATATTGCGGCATTACACGTAAATATGTACTTTTATACTTATAGAGCAACGTTAAGAACTATTGTAGTTCGTCAAATTCAAAAACGGGAACATGGTTCCTGGCAGATATAAATATCTTGGCGTAATTTTGAAATACTCGAGCCAAGTAGTGGCAGCAATCGTCTGTGATCTGTTAATATACGAGAATTTTGTGTTATGCGATTGATCATATTTTTTATCAGTTAGATTTTATACAATTTTTTTAAGCTTACTTCACAGCAACTTATAGAAATATCTTCCAGGTTTGGCAGGAATGCGAGTCCAAAGTAGCCCGAAATATTGGTAAGAAAACAAGTCGGTTCAACATTATCACAGAAAAATAAATTTTCTGACCAAAATATCGCAGACGTTTCCAAATGTAGTTTTTTAAGTCCTGTAAAAAACATCAGTCAATTAAATTAATGTCATTAAATTATAGAGTTTTGCATAAGTATAAAGAAACACACCTCGCAAATTGGAAATACTCGGTCCAACTCTCACAGTCTCAATATCGACCTCGTCAAAACTCTTGGATAGGTTGATGAGGTCGCAAGTGGTTTCAGGAATGCCGGTAAAAATGCTGTCAACTCCATCATTCTTGTCACTCAGAGTCAGACAGAGCTCCTGTAGCTCGGGCCACATTGTCCATAGCTGCGAAATGATTGAATTCCGAGGTGAATCTGCAGTAATATTCTGCACATTTGGAAACATCTTCCCCAGTTTGACCAGCTTTAACGTATCACTCAGATTGGTGGGGAGTGCCAATTTTCGCAAGGAATGACAAGGGTATAAAACGTTCACATCCGCAAAATACTCTTCCCATTGCACCTCGTCTGCGAAGGTTTGGACGATAAGCTCCTCTAAATTGGGAGTGACTGTAGCAAAGCAAAATGGTCCCAAAACAATTTCCGGCTTGCAAACTGCAACTCGACTCAATTTTCGTAAATTCTTCATAATGGGAAAATTTAGCACCAAATTATCCTGGGATCCGGTCACCTCTCCGAAACTGAGCTCCCTTAAGGATTCGTGGTGACAATTGATCAGTCCTTGAAACGAGTTATTATCCACCGAATCTAATATCTTGAAGGAAAATTCCTCCAGTCTCATCCCTTTCAGACTCAAGGTTAGTAGAATGTTCATATGAGATCCGTCAACATCATTGAGATGGAGAGCGTTTAAATTCTTAAAATTTCCAGAGTCACGAACCGCCGAAATTATCAGTGTTGAGCGGTCAAGTCCCCAGTTTTTGTTGGATTTCAGCCTTTTCAAGTTGGGACATGAGCGGAGGAGATCGACCAAAAAGTTGGGGTGCATTTTTCTCCCTTCGACAAAAAGTTCTTGAATGTTTGGAAGTATGGGGACATTTCTTGACGAGGAATTCATCTCATTGCATTTGCAACCAACAATTGTGGACAAGAACTTGGGGAATGAAATCACCTCTTCCGGTAGACACCCTTCGAGGGACAAGATTTGTAAGTTGGGCGCTCGGTGAAGCAGCAACTCACGCAAACCGTAAATATCCAGAATGTCGAAATGGCTCAGTTCAATTCTCAAAGCTTTAATGAGGGATCCGCAAATGGTGAATAATTTTTGCAAGAGTGGATTTCCAAGTTTCAAATTGAGAAAGAGATAAGATCCATACGGAATTGGGTCGGATGAGAGGAGTAACGACAGAAATTGCGACAGACTCGAATATTTCCCTAAAGATGCTTCGTCAAGCCGGACATAAAACTCTTTTCGAACTCTGGAAATTACCGATTTGTTAAATTTCTTACAAACTTGACGATACCTCAGCAAATCGCGTCGTCTCACGTATCTTGCCAAAGTTCGTAGCACCTTTAACCAAAGAAAAAAGAGAAAGTTGGGAACATATAAATAAATCAAATAGTTAATCCGAATTGAAACGCAAATATATTTACCAAATCATTTTCCAGCGGATTTATAAATATGTCACAATCTTCCTCCTCCTCCATTATTCCGAAGGACGACCAATTTTTGGACTGGTTTTGATCAATTTTATTAAAACGGCAGCATTGCGTAGCACATTTTGCAATGTATTTTGGCAGTATTTTTTTCATCCGCACACATAAAAGTATGTATGACAAAAAGAAAACAAACAAGTTCCAGCCAGCAGGATGTAGTAAATATCGTCCTTCCTGCAAGAACCACCTTGTACGCTTACACACGGAGAAAATCAATTGTTTTCATTTCTTCCTTTCACTTGCCGCTGTGTGCTTCATGTGGATTCGCTCAGTCAGATGTGTTTTTTGGCAATAACACACCAAGGTTTTCAGAGTGTGAACAAAATGAGATAAACACAGGCGAATGCGACTTCTCATAAAAGAGAAAGTTGGCCGAGAGACAAGGAAATAATGAGTGCTTTGCATGCAATTTTGAGACAAGAGGCACCCATTATCTCGAAATAGTAGTAACGTCATATTGACAATGTCTTTAATAAAATACTCATCACAACTAATGTACTAAATTGATAAAAAAATATCTTATAGTTAAGGAATATTACTCAAACTGTACTCATTTTTTTTATGGCGGACGTCAAAGGTAATCCTGTCGTGGGGTTGAGACTGTGAGCATTATGATTTAAAATAGTAATCCCCACATCCCCAGAGGTCGGATTATTACGCCGACCACCACTGCTGCTACTGTTATTTTGATCGTCTTCATCATCATCGTAATTATAATCCGTCGCGTTCAGCCTCAATTTGACGCTTAGAGCTCGCAGCTCATCCAACTTCTTATCGGCCATGTTAATCTGATGGTGGACAGTTTGTCGGTAGAAGACTATGCTAAAAATGAACAAAAGTATGAGGACGGGGACCATAATTGCGGTAATCGAGATTGCCGGCGTTGTAGGAAACTTTATCCAACAGAGGAGAATTACGTCCACGATGAAGAGGAAGATTGAGACGGTGTTGGCTAAAAACCAGGCGAGATCAATGTAGAAACTGACATCGTCGTGGGGTGACTTTCTCGCGAGGCTTATCGACTCTAGCTTGGCGACGGCCTCGATGTGGGGTAAAATACAGGTGGCGATCATAATTGAAAGCATGGTGGTGGAAACGAGAAGGGCCGTCGTGACGGCGAAGGAGACGAGAAGGGCTTCGCTTGTACCTTTTTCGATGGTCAGTTCGACGGTGGCAATCTGTTTAAAAAAAGGTGAAAAATGTAAAAATTAAATTAAAATGTGTATCAAAATACATGCGTTTGTATATTATGTAAATAAGTATATATTGCAAAATGACAATGGCAAACTAAAAATGGAAAAAAATTCAGATAATTAATGTGTGTAATAATTGTGGGTTGCTGCATTCCTAATTTTTTTCATAACTGCACAATATTCTAGCTCATTCTATCCGGAAGTTGATTATTTTTGCATAAAGAAAAAATATTTTGCACACCACAGAGAATCCAGCCATCAGAGCTGCCATTTCCGTAACACCCTTCAATTTGGCCTTGCTGAGTTGAAGTCGTCGCCAAATCAGTGTGTTTTCATCTGGTTCGAGAGTCGAACCTTCGGAACCTTCGCTTCCCTCCATGATTCAGCGTTCCGTGACTTGAATGTATGCTTTTTATCACAAAATTGACTAGAAAACGCAGACGAAAATATTTGTGGTACGCATTATCTCAATTTGCGGCACAGGAATAAATATGCGACGCAATGATAAAGCGAAAAATTATATCCGCGTCGAAACCACCACAATATAAAAATTCACAATACAGATAAATCCCTGTTAAAATATTTACGTTAAATAAAACCTTATTACAAATAGGAATGGTAATTATTCTGCTGGAAGTTGATCCAAAAATGGAATTGTAGAATAACTTTTACTGCTATTTAGCATACATCAGTTGTTTTCGTATAGCTGAAAAGGTCGTAGTTTTGTTATGTACTAATGGTAAACTTGTATGTACAAGCTATGTGTGGTTTTGTGTTAGGTGGTTGTTTTTTATGCACTCTGTTAAAATGTTAAAATGTTTAAGTAAGCTAAATCACCACCAGTCCATACGCTAGAAGTTGGTAAAAAATGAACAATGATTTTTATGGATATGCGGGTTGTCTCGTAATTAAATGTGCAGGTGCAGAGTACAATGCAATAATGGGTATTTGCATTATCGGTTTATGACGACTGTAATTTCATAATGTTCCAGAAATACTAATTAAGGTTTGCTTGCATTAGTTCTGGTAATGATTACTCTCTCAAGAATCTGTTTGACGATTTGAAATTCATGACCACATGAAGGAAAATATTTAGAAATTCAGTACGACTTGGGTATATAAATTGTTGAATAAGGTCATTTGCAGATTGGTTTTGCATATCTAAAAATGCCAAAATATAAGCATTAAAGTAAAACGAATGTTGGATTTTAAAATACCATGCGACGAAAACGAAGTTCTTAATTAAAATTAAATAATAATTTCATAGTTATGCATGTGCAATGTGCATACAGAATGTGAAACATATTGTGGGAGAAAAATGAAACAGTGTACAAAATTGAGCAACTATTCAGCCACAATTGGAAAATTTACATCTTTATAATCCATGAAAGCATGAGATATGATGCTCACTTTTGGAATTTTTGCATATTTTATTTTCTTAGTGATATAGAATATATTTTATCTTTTATATATTTTATTTTCTTCAGACATTTTTATGCTCAAATTAATCTTAAGTTCAGATGATTTTGAAAAATAATTTGTTAATTTGCAATTAGGATAAAATCTGGAAGATGAAACTGCGTGATGAGAGACGTGAGACGGGTGAGTGCATAGAGCGGATGGTGCAGATTTCCCCGTTTGCGTTCACAATTCAATTTATGCCACACCGTTCACATTCTCTCCAACTTTTGCCGACTCCAGTCTTGAATTTGGTTTTCGAAATTGTTCCGATTCTTGAAAAACAATGGTAAGTTTTTTAGCATTTCATTGAGAGGATATTTTTCACGAGGTCGATAATTAGAGATAAAAGTAAGAGAAATTGATAGTATAGAAATAGATTTGACTTTTAGTTTTCATTTTAAAACAAGTTTAAAAGAACATACAATTTTTGTAACAAATGTTGACTTGCTGTTCATTTAAATTTGGCATTATATTTTACAAAGTGGTCAGAATTAGTGGAATATCGACCGATAAAACCCCATTCGTAGATTTATAAATGAAATGATGGAGTTTAAAACTTTAATCTCATGATAATGTCTAATTGTTTCTCCCTTTGTTTAACAGACCCAGAAGCGTCGTAATAACGGACGGTCCAAGCACGGACGCGGACATGTGAAACCTGTCAGATGCACCAACTGTGCGCGATGTGTCCCCAAGGACAAGGTAAACTACACCAGCCATAAATTATGGACGAATCTCTTTAATAATGACAGTCTGACTAATTGTTCGATTAGGCTATCAAAAAGTTTGTCATCAGGAATATTGTTGAAGCTGCAGCCGTTAGGGATATCACAGAAGGTATACAATGCGTTTAACCAGTATTGCATTATTGTTACTAATTTTTATCCCTTTGATATTTTTCAGCTTCGGTTTACACCATGTACCAACTTCCCAAGTTGTACGCTAAACTGCATTACTGCGTATCCTGCGCTATTCACTCTAAGGTGAGTTGGTTAAGTATATTTAACGTAACTTAGCAATTTAAAATTGCATAATATAATAAGTATGTATATCGTGTAATAGGTCGTCAGGAATAGGTCGAAGGAAGATCGAAGAATCAGAACTCCGCCACCAAGGTTTGCACGACCGGTGAGTAAATGGTTTTAAAAAATATTGTAACTTGTCACTGCTTTGGTTTGGTACAGGACTTTGTCGCTAATATTTTGTTCTTTTTGTGATTCAGGGTGATCAACCGCGTCCAGGTGGCCAAGGTGGTCAGCCAGTCCGAAAGTGAACATCTTCTATTTTTAGGACTAAACCTTTGTTATAAATTCCTCTATGAGTAACGTGAAATAAAAGCGTCTCATAAGAAATTTTATTCCTCCTTTGTCTTGTTTTGAAAGGTCTTATTGAAATGCATGGCAACTTTATCGATCCAACACAAACCATAATGAAAACGAGACGACATGAGTTTCTATTAATTATTCATTCTTCACGCATCGCTATTGATTTAACAAGCATACATACATAGGAGCCGCAGCAGCAGTAGTGATTTATAATAGTTAACAGTAGATTAGACATTGAGTGAATCATTATTTCAAGCCCTTTAAATTTGACGAAATGTGGCAGCAAAACATGTCCAGACTGCTGGTGAATTCGGGATGGGGGACCGGTTTCCGACTTCCCATCGCCAACGCTGAAAACTTGGAGCTTGAACGCGAAGTAATTATTATGCAACCCATTTTTGATAACATTTCATCTTTTATGCGACTAAAATTTTGGATATTTAGCTGGAGAAACGCCAACTTACTATTGAATCAATGCAAGCCGAATTGCATGATATTAAAATACATACAGAGAAAGTGGAGAAGCTGACTAAATCGACAGCCAACCATATTATCATCCAAACTGTAATAACTAAAGCTTTAATCAAGCTCGTTTAAACGATTAAAATCATCAGTATTTCTTCTCGGGATTTTTTTTAGAAACTCATAAGTGCAAAGAATGCCCAAATTGTCGCAGAGCGAGAACTTCTCAATCTAACGGAGAAAGAATACTCCAAATTGCCAAATGAGTGTAAACTGGTTCAAAAAACTTTCAAAAATGCTGTCAAAAAGAATCGGGCACTTGTGGTAATCATTGCGTATTTCATATCTTTACATGTATTTTGTAGTTTATGCATTAATTGGTGGAATGTAATCCAGGATGAACTTGAAATACGAAAACGGGACTTGGCCGAACTAACAGAGATGATCGCGTATGACCGCAATGAGTTGGCCCTCATTGAGAAAAAGTCGACGGATGAAAGTCAAATCATCTCTGCAATTGAAGAGATTTGTGACCAAGATACGGAGACGTTAAAGGCATTTTTATGGAATATATTTGCATTAATTAAGGACATGTATCTCTAATTTAAATGCAATCTGCAGAAATATGAGACACGGTACAGGAAAGCGACCGCAGAAACGGCAAATCTTCGGATGGACTTGGATGGGAAAGTGGCCATGACACGATGCATGCAGGCCGAGATGGATGGATTAAGTGAACGTTTCCGGAAGTTGCACGGGGAACGGGGGGACATTGTCTCACTTTGGAAAAGTACTTTAAAAGGATTGCATCACAGAGATGCGGAAATGAGTGAAGTTGCAGAAGTACATAAATTTTCATGATGAAAACTGTCAAATTGCATAGAAAATAATCAAATGATTAAAAATATGTAATTGATTCACTTTCCAGGACTATCAACTCGCTGATTCTATGTTAAAATCCGAAACGCTAAAAGTGGAAGAGGCCCGAAAAAAGTTGGACGAACGACAAAAATTTGCCAGTACAGCTTTCCTCCAGTTGGATCGATGGGATCGGAAAGTTATGGAATTGCGTGAAGAGATCAAAAGCTCTACCGAATTTAGCCAAACCATGAAAGATAACATACTCACATATGAAACTGCAATTACCTACGATTCCACCCAAATTCAAGAGCTTAACAAAAAGTCTGCCGTGATTGAAAAAGAGCTGGCGGAAATGAATGATAAAGTAGCCGCTATACAAGACAAACTTACCGAATTGAATTTGAAAGAGGAAGAAAATTCGTCAAAAATGCTTACAACCTCCGAAAGGATGAAACAAATTCAAGTTTTGATTGACGAGGAGGAGAAAAAATTGGAAGCTTGTGTTAAGAACTTGGAACGCGAAATGACACGGAAGGGACAGTGGCTAAATAAAAAACGACAATTGGAAGCTAACTCACTCAACTTAGACCATGAATATAGAGGTGTTCAAGCTAATTTACAAGTTTTCCGAGCACGAAGTAGCGAATGTGAAATGACGGTAAGCTACAAATTCGTGTTTTTACAGAAAAAAATAATCATGCAAATACGTGTAAATTAATTTATTATTATGATCCATCTTACAGTTGGAGAAACGAAAAGCACAAATTTATCGGGTCGAACTCCTGTTAATTTCCAAAGAACAAAAGTACAAACCTTTCCTGAATCCAAAGGCGAATGATGTCCAAATTTCCGAAGAGCAGGAAAGACATGTCATCGAAATGAGAGAAAATTTGATTCACATGCAAAAAAGGAAGAATTTTATATCCAACCAAGTCAGTCATCTAACCAGTATCAATAAAAGGATTTACAGGGAGAAGGGCGGCTTAGAAAAGGAAAATTTTGGACTGGGCGTTAAAAATAATGAGCATACTTGTTCAGTTAAATTGTAGGTGTTTTGACATAACTATTAAAATCCGACGTGATAATAACTTAATTCCTGATTTCATAGCACTGTGAAATCTCTGGAGTTCATGGTGGACGAATACCAAAATCTCATCGTAGATCACAGCTTGGTGAAGCTAAAGTTGAGAGAAATTACGAAAGCTGTGCAACAACAGCAAAATATGTTGTTTGACTCTGAAACCCACAGAACAAGGTTACAAGCTGTAAGTGATCTAGTGCTAATTACTCAGGAAATTAAAAGTTTTCAAAAACGAATAATAAAACCAGGCCACTAGAGAGAAAAAGTCGGAAATTGAAGCTCACTCGAGATTATTGGAAATGAGAAAGCGTGGAATGAAAGAGGAAATGACACAGTTTAGAATGCAATTATCTCAAGCGATGTCTGGGCTGACGAAGAGACGACAAAGGTAAAAATAATCAGAATTTAAGAAAAATTATTAGTAATAGATACATATTTAATTAATAATTATTTTGCAGATATGAGATAATTATGAAACTCATGGCCAAACCGGAGGACGGTTCTTCTAACCCGAACGAAATCAAATCGGAAGCATATTACGTTCTAAAAATGGTTCAAGAACGTGATTTATTGCGAACGTATGTACAAAGTCATGCATTAAGTAAACAATTTGAGACTTTTATTATGCATTCATTATTAATTTTGGGTGCAATATTTTTCTAGTGAAGGAGATAAATGGGATAAAAAAGTGAAGGAAGCAGAAGTTGAAACGGAAGCACTTCAAAATAGTTTGGCCTTGATCCAGTGTTCAAACGATCTCTTTAAGGAAAGTTTAAAACCCGTAGTTGACGAGGGGGACGGTAAATTTGCCTTCACTAATTAACTAACTACAGCATGCATTTATTAAAAATAAATAAATTATCAATGAAAATTGGTTAGTTCTTGTCGCGGAAGCTCGAACAATAAAAGAGGAGAGTAGGGAACACACCCTCCGAAAGAACAAGGCTATCATGAAGATACGAGAACTGGAGTTAGACCTGAGTGATAAAGCGAGGACGTTGAAAGCCATACAACAACAGATCTCGACTTATGACAACTTGTCAGTCGACAGGGAATACGAGGTCCGACAAATGACGGCCGAACTTCGAAATCAAACTTTAGGTTGGAAACGAGCAGGCATGTTGAGCAACAGGCTCCTTCAAGAGTTGACTTTCTCCGGACCGGAAGAGAAAGAACTCGTCTCGCAAGATATGAAATTGAGGGCTACACGGAGAAAATTCGAGGTAATTTTGATCATGATAATCACAGTTTGCTTGTTTCGTACTTGTTTCAAGGTAATGTTTTTTTTTCTGATTAATTGCATAGTTTGGCATTCAAGCCCTTGCAAAAATCTTGAACGTGTATCCCTTCATGTACGAATGGATTGGAAAAATGCTCTGCAAACACTTTGGTAAAAACGTTGCCGTTAAATTTTTGAACCGAGTGAGCCCAATGGTTGCAGATTGTCCAAGCCCCTCCGCTGCACCTCATCATCATCGCCATGGTCATAAGAAGAGGGCCAAACCATCACCACAACCACAGCCAACTCCCCCACCACCTCCTCCTCCTCCTCAAGATATTCCACCGTCCCGCAGCAAAGTTACGATAAATGAACCACTTTCGCCCACATCGTCTGCAAAATCCATCAGAAAGGGGACAAAGTGGGAAATTAGTGGAACGATGACGCAACAAACTCGGTTAACAATTAGTGCAGCCACCACTACCAGAAAATCAGGTTCGACTCCATTACGGTCAGCATTAAGTGCTGGTCCCCAAAAATCTAAAATGAGGGGAACAAGAGCAACTATTGGTCACACTACGACCAAACTATTCACACCAGATCCTCCTCCACCACCCCCACCACCACCAGTATTTGATGAATTTGACGAACTTCCCAAGAGGACACAATCTGAGGAAGCTATCCTACGAAACGTCGCAAAGGCTGTTGAAGGGAATAGAAGACAGTTTGTGGAGGAGAGACAGCAGAATCAGATAGCAAGAAATATGGGGGGTTTTGGAATGAAAAGGTTAACTCCAACAGTAGCAGTGCCTGAGCCACAGATTGATCTAGGAACGCAGCCCCCTGTTGACCCTGAGGAGGAGGAAGAAGAAGAAGGCGAATTAGGATCCAATTCGTCGACCCCAACCAAAGGAAGCTCTTCTGGGGACTTAATGATGGAGAAATTGTATGGGTCGTCATTATGGATAGTAGACGCTGGACAATTGCCGTTGCTCGGTGTGGACGATCTAGAGACGTAAGAGTTTATTTAAAATATTCGAAATTAAGATTAAGGATTTCATGCTTAATTATTGCAGGGAGGGGGAAATAGACGGTGAAAATAACGCGCAGGAAGATGGGCTCGAAAGTATTGTGGAACATCCTGAAGAGGAATATGAAGAAAGTAAGGAAGAGGCAGCATGAGACATTGCATAATTAAGTCGGCAGCTTAATTATCGTTAATTTAAAGTCTTTGTGTGTGCAATAATTAGCGAATAACTTAAAGAAGTGCATGTATAATAACTTTAGGTTAGTTAGACTAAAAGCATGTCAATTAATTCTATCTACATACATACATATGTATATTACTATATTGAAACATGCTGCATAGTGTAAAGTGCAATAATTACCAAGAGCATTAAAAGTGACCCATCTTCCTGAGAATATGTATAGTGCTGTGATCGTGCTTGTCGTGTGTATTATGAAAAGTGTTATTGTGACCTGATTGTAAAAATGTGATGTGATCGTGAACAGGATGTAAAGATGAAAATAAAATAATAACTTATTTGACAAGTATTTAAAAACATAATCGACTTTAATGGATTACAAATAAACAAAAAATTCTACGATTTCATAATTCAATCATTTAGTTTATATATTGCAAGCCACTGTCAAACTTATTGTTTGTCAAACGTATTCATGTTTTTTCAGCCATTATATATATATTTGATGCATTTTTGCTAGTCGGTTAATTTCATTGGTATTTCTCTTATACCTTCATTCTATACATCCGTGACATTTTGCATATGGTCGTGTCACTCATAAATCAGCCACCAGAGATAAATTGGAATTCTGTTTACCACCACCTGGTCGCAAACAGATAATAAATCGATGTCATTGAACCACCACACTTTTAAATTTTGCTATTTAATTGTCATAAAAATAACTATATAAATGTGTCCCACTAGATTGTGAGCAAAACAATTTTTTACCAGCAAATTTTCAACCTCTCTCCTCAAAATTAATTAAACTGGCCCTCCTAAACCATACATGGAACAGCATTGAAACTTTATTAGCAGATAGTAATAAAACACACATTGCGTGTTTGCACTTTATATTAAAACAATTTAAAATACGACAGCGTTAAAAATTTTCCTCCAGTTAGTATTCAGCTACACGACTGGATTAGACTAGACGCAATGCATTTTAATTAATTTATGCATTCACCTTCACTTCTTAATACTTTTCGTAAGCATAAAGCTCCTCAAACAATTGATCACTAAATTAATAAAATTCTGTTGCTTACACCAATTCAGAGAGAGGCGAAATAAATCCAATCCACCATTGTAACGAAGTATTCTCCCAAGGCAAAAAAAACTTACGTACGTAAATACATTGTTACTTAACATGAATATTTATCATCATTTGGTTTGTATCCTCTTCTCAATTTTATTGTTTCCACACACATAAAATAAAACATAATCATGCAGCATGTCTGTCATGTCATGCGACTAGAATAACACCATGAGTCAGACAACAAAGGTCTTTAATACACACTCCTCTCGTGAAATACATGTAATCCATAAGTAATAATCTCACGACGAATTACTTACATAAGTACGTACGTACATATTTGTATTGGTATCTCTTCAACCTCGATTAAATTTGGTTCATACAGACAATTGTTTTATCATCCTCGCAAATATTCGGCAGTGAGCTTTACCTTTTCATTTGGAACCGAATGGGTGTTGCAAAAGGATGAATAAAGCATGAGGAAAGTGCAACCCAGAAGCGAAACCTCTTATTAAAGAGAAGGTTGTGAATTGTGTAAAGGAAAAAAAAGAGTATAGAATTCAGTGCTGTTTCTGTTTGCATTCACTTCACGTCACACAAGACCATTTTACTTTAAGCAGAGTGCACATATTTGATATTTGTAAGACACTTTTTTAGGACAGAGAAGTAGTAGTTTAAGTAAAATAACGAAAGTAAATACATACGTCCAAGTAAAATGAAAGTATTAAAAACTTCTTCTTGTTTGCGTAAGGAAAGGCTGCAATGTGGTAGATATTATTTCTTTAAATATTTTTCGAGAGGATTAAATGTGATAGTGTAACAAACAAGCACGAACGAAAGTATTTATTCAACGACTAGTCAACACTTCTACTTATTTTTGGAAAGTTTGCATTTATTTAGAACATTTAAGAAAACATAATTTGAACAGAACGATGGAATTAGGAACGTTATGCAGAGGAAGGAGTATCATGGGCAGGAGTGTGTATTAATAAAAGGTAATAAACACTTGAATGATAAATCATCCAGTAGATATGTATAATAAATAAGCCATGAATATTTAATGAGTTGATGGACGATTATTTATTTAATCCAGATCAGATCATCGCGTTACTTACTTACGTCAAACAAGTGGTGCAAGGCAAAATGTGACGAGGAGGAGGCGAAGCAATTTATGTACATTTCGATCTTTGAACATGCCCCGTCGTCTTCTTTACAATCAATTGAATTGATCAATAATAATACAAATACCTGACCAATGGCTGAATCTGCTGCTACTTAATCGATATTTATCTATTGGTAGTACCAATTTGGTACTTACATACTTGCTTATTAATAGCATTGTATTATAAAAATCTAGTGTTAACTAGATCTAGTCCGACACCAGAAAATTCGTATTCGTCGCGAAACTTATACACAATCAGAAAAGAAAACACGTACTTATCCTCAACACTTATCTACCACGATTAAATGAAGAAGATTAAACGAAACCAATGCCACAACAATCGTCGTCGTCACATTGTTATTATTAAGAAGAAAATTGCAACCGTTCTGCTACTACACGGATTAATTGGCAAGCCATCAAGGGAGGAATTAAAGAATTCTCATCAGAGAAATGGCTACAAGATCCCAGTTGTATAAAATTATCGCAATCGTAATCTTATTCCTCGTATTTCTCCAGTACCTGTACCTCTTCCCAGTTAAACTTAACTTAGGCTTTACCAGCAGCAATCATATTTTTACTCCTTCATCACTCCAAGGACAAATTTCTTCGGATTTCACCACGTATGAAAAATCACTCTTCAATCTCAAGACTGGTCCGTTCAATAACAAGAAACGATCTCCAGATGAGGGTGGATCAACAGAGATGATATCACAAGGAGCGAACAGTGCCAATAATAATGACGCCAAAGAACCTTCTTCGAATCACTCGAGATTAAACCTTGTGTCAATTCTCCACTTTCCGGATAGAAATTCAAACTTGTCTTCTACACCACCGTCTTCACCACCACCTCCTCCGATAAGAATCTCATCAATCTCTTCTTCTCTTCTTCTTGCGTCCGCCAAACCAGCATCGAAATCTCAGCACAATAATAATTATTATAATAATACTAGTAGTAATTACAATACTGTTAATGAAAGGCCTAAGAATTCGTCCTTCTCCTTCTTGTCCGAAAATCCACCACCAGTACTGCCTACTACTAATTCACCTCTTCCATTCTGCCCCACTGAACCACCCACGCTCCTCGGCTATATGAAAGTGGCCCTCTCGCAACCCCCAAGTTTAGCAGATATTGGTCGTTTACACTCTGATATTAGTCTCGGTGGTCACTACAAACCACCAAATTGTACCTCTAAGGATAAAGTCGCTCTCGTAGTCCCTTTCCGTGATAGAGAGGTTAGTGCATACTCTGACTCGTTTTCACTTTTAGCCCGAGCCAGGACTTATTCAACCGAATTTTGCATACAATAACGATGCTAAAATTTTTGTCAAGGGGTCTCGAAAAGGGTAACCTTCGCTGTTTTCAAAATTTGGCAACGGAAAATGAATGGCTCGGGCTATAGGTTTTAAAGTCGTATAATATTGTTTCATGTTCCTACGTTTTATTTCAGGAACACCTCCGCCTATTTCTGGTCAACATTCTCCCCTTCCTCAAAAGACAGCAAATTGAGTTCAACATCTTCGTGATTGAACAGGGAACTAAGGACGAACCATTCAATCGAGCTATGCTTTTCAATGTGGGATTCCAAGAGGCCAACAAAAGGGGAAATTTTGACTGCTTCATCTTCCATGACGTTAGTACTTCATTGTTTGTTTGCACTTTATTCATTGTATTAATAAGAATTCTCATATTTACAGGTCGACCTCATACCAGAAAACGATTACAACATGTACAATTGTCCAGTACAACCGAGGCATATGTCCGTCGCAGTTGATAAGATGGGTTACAAACTTCCGTACAGAAATCTCTTTGGGGGAATATCAGCTTTGACCAAAGAACATTTCAGGAAAGTAAACGGATTCAGTAACAGTTTTTGGGGCTGGGGTGCTGAGGACGACGACATGGCTGGTAGGATTGCTTACAATGGGCTCTATATTTCCCGACCTGCGCCAAACATTGCTAGGTAGACAACGTATAAAATCATTGATGAGTTTTACCCACGTACTTGTAAGATTGAAACGTATGGATGTTTTTAGATACAAGATGCTCAAACACAAACAACAAAAGCTGAACACTCAACGGTATCGTGTCCTTCAAAAGGGAAAGACGCGGTTCAGGTCGGATGGGTTGAACAATCTAAAGTACACAGTGGAACAAGTCGTCCTCGAAAACACTTACACCCTGGTGCGAGTGCAATTGGCGAAACCATAGCAGAAGGAGTCCCCGTCGTCGGCCTCCTCTTTCTCTTTGGTGAGAGGAGGGGCGGCGGGGCCGAAGAGTCGACCAGGAAGAATCCGTGCCTCGTCATTATCTTTTCAGCGAAAGCGATTCCGTCAAAGAAATCTTAGGCCGGGGGACATTCTCAAAGTGGGCCTCTTATTGTGACCACACATGACTGTATCTACTTAAAACATTACACGACGAATATACACACACTACTTACCAAGATTTCGTAATAGATCATCAATCACTACTTACAAGAGAGATGATCCATATATAAGAATCTCCCGAATGTTAAGTGTTCCCTGTTATCAGAATGACTTCCTACTTCCTTGTAAAATTAGTTGCACTAATTTTTACCTGCCACCAGTGATACATTTGTTTTATTATTATTGCTATATTTTATTTTCGTTGATAGTTATATAAGTAATGTTTCGGTCTTACTTATTTTATAACAACGTCTATTCATCCAGTGAAAGTATTATCATTTTGATGCTCTCAACATTTTCGTATGTATTTACATACATACATGTGTCCCCCTCACTCACTTTATGACTTTGAAAGAAGACTTGTGGAAAATTATGTATGCCATTTTTCTGTCAATTGATGTTGTTTATTATCCTAGTGTATTCCTTGTTAAAGTTGCGTTGAAACATTTAAAGTTTTATTGGCTCACTCGATAAGTATGTAATGTGCAGATTAAAATATTACAATCAACAATGTGCTCCGCTTCAGTAGAAGTGGTAGTGAAATCATGTTAAATACATTAGTCTGACAAATTGCGAAAAGAAAACAATAAATAATTGCATAGAATAATAGAAATCCTATAATTGTATTACAATTTAATTTCATACGCTTATCGATGCATCACTTATCAACGTATCTGTTTACAGCAAGAAATGATCTCATGTCAGTTTTCATAAGAAATATATATGAAAACTTTCTCCAATTTTACTCTGCTCAACTTCAACGTCGTAAAATGTCGCATGCGTGAACCGGATTTGTTTAACAGGCGGCAAGGATTTTGTGCCGTTGTGGATTTTGTAGCAAAATTTATTTTTGTTTAGTTTGCTAAATAAATATCGCTGAACTGAATTTACAATTAATTTCAAATTTTAAAGTTTGTGTTGAACACATTGTGCAATAATGCCTCCCCACTCGCTGAACTTTGACATGAAGACCGTGAAAAAGCAGGTCGTTTCGGAACTACACAATTGCAGTCAACGAGGTTTATCAAAAACTGTGAAATGGCAAGTCATAAATAATTCATATTATTTCATATGCTGGTCACTAATTTCAATCATTAAAGTTACTGCCTTATTTGACGAGTTAATTATTTGTACAGGATGTCCGAGCTAAATTTTGCTTTAAATCATGTCAAAGTTGACATTCGAACTTTATCGGAGTATTCTGCGCTATCGTTTGAGCAAAGAGAATTCTATGATACTTATCTCCTTTGCAAGACCTATTTCGATAATGGAGAGTATTTGAGGTGAGCTTATTCTTATTTTTTTAGTATTTTAAAAATTTTGCATTGTTTGGTGTGACTATAATTTAATCTAATTACTAGGTGTGCATTTTTCGCTGAACCATTTTCCAAGTTGTGTCCAATTCTGCGATTTTTGCGTTTCTATTCTCTGTTTCTCGATTGTGAGAAGAAACGGTTGGAAAGCATGAGTGAACTTACAGGTACTTAAGGGAACTACTTTGCTACGCGAAAAAATATGTTATAATTTGATGTAATTTAAGATATATGATTAAATTTATAGCTGTTCTGTCGGATCCAAAACAAGTGGGACAATTGAGAGAATTAACAAACGAAATATTGGCTTCGTATGATGAGAATATTGATCCACAAGATTACGACCCGTATGATTTATACCTGTTGGGGATGATTAACCGACGACTTGGAGACACTGATGTATCGACAGATTATCTGATGGCCTCTATATCTTCGAATAACTATATTTGGGGGGCATGGATAGAGTTAGCCTTTCTAATTATGGATAGAAAGCGGGTAATTAATTAAATACAATGTGTAATATCGATCTTATAGTCATTCATGTTATAATTTTGAATTATTTTAGTTGGCTTTATTGGAGCAAACACTACCCAATTGTTGGATGAAGCACTTCTTTGTCGGGCACATTTCTTTAGAGCTCCACATGAATGAGAAAGCACTTCGAACCTATTTTGCACTTCAAAAGTCTGGGTTTCATAACAGCGTGTATATTAAAAGCCAGATTGCTATTGCATATCACAATGTACAACGTAAGGAAAGCATTTGATTTGATGTATAAATTCCAATTACGATTTTTATTTTTAAACTTTTGTAGGCGTTGATGAGGCGATTGATACTTTTGATCGAGTGTCGTTAGAGGATCCATACAGATTGGATGACATGGATCTTTATTCGAATATGCTGTATGTAAAAGGAGAAAAATATTACCTGCAAGTTTTAGCAAATAAAGCTGTTGAAATCGATAAGTATAGGGTGGAAACATGTTGCATTATAGGTGAGTTTTTTTACAGTTTAAACAGGATAATTCAAAGACTATTAAATATTTCAATCATTTTAAACAGGTAACTTGCACAGTCTAAAGAGGGAACATCACAAAGCAATAGAGTATTTTGAAAGAGCTCTTAGAATTCACCCCTACTATTTATCGGCCTGGACTCTTATGGGTCATGAGTTTATGGAGTTGAAAAATTCCAATGCCGCGATCCAATGTTATAGAGAAGCTGTAGGTAATTCAAATTTTCCCAATGTTTTCATGTTTGATGTTATAAGGGTTAAATGATGTCATTTAAATCCTTTGTTTAATTTATTAAATTTTCAGAAGTGAACAAACACGATTATCGAGCTTGGAACGGACTAGGACAGACATACGACATATTAAAAATGCCTGGCTACAGTTTATATTATTACAAGCAAGCGCATCGTCTGCGGCCAAATGATAGTAGATTACTAACTGCTCTTGGTGAAGCTTACGAGAAACTGGACAGGCCTCGATGTGCAGCTAAATGTTACGAGAGAGCAAGACAATTGGGTGATGTAGAAGGATTGGCCATTCTAAAATTGGCAAAGTAATTATTTAAATTTATGTGTACACACTTTGTTAATTAATATTCGGTATTATTACATTGGTATGTTTTTTCATGAAGAATGCTGAAGGGTACTGATCCAGAGAAAGCATGCAGAGCATATTTGGAGTATTTACATGAAATGGATGCGCAGAATGTGGCAGATCGAGATGAACAAGGAAAAGCCCACATTTTCTTGTCCAATTACTACTTTACAAAGAAGGATTTCGAAAATTCTCATAAACATGCATTCAAATGCTTAGAATTCCCTGAGGTATTAAAACTATAAACTTACTTTCTACATATATTTTCTTACTAAACAAAATTTGAATTGTCATTTGCTTTTAGGTGAAAGATGAAGCGAAAGCACTCCTGGTCCAATTGGCCACTATAAAACAACCCGGCCATGAAACAGCAGAAGTTATTGATATGGATATTTCAACTGTAGATGATAAAACGCAGTCTCAAGCAAATGAAAATGACCATAGTTTATAATAAGTTGTCTAGTCTATCGCAGAGAATTGCCAATCTATCCAGCCTTTTTGTACACAATATTTATTGTACTTTATCGGAAGACATGCACTCCAGATTCTGGGATATGCAATTTTTCCGATATATTATGTACATAGGATATTCCTTCGTTATTGTAACTAGAAAAATATTTTTATTCAATATATATAAAATCCTTTGTTACATAGGACTATCAATTTTATTGTTCAGTATACTATGCTTACTAATAATAAGCATTGAACTGAATGCCTGTGCACAATATCAAGTTTATCTTCATTTTTTGGAGTCTTCCATTCTCATAGATTTCACGCTCTTTGAAAACGAACCAAGTCGTATTATTATTATTATATCAGCAGCCAGAGAAGAAGCAAAATTCCACTCGGTTCCAGGTCCTGAATTTGCATTATGATTGTCGCCTTGTGACGAGACTTTGCTCTGCTTGTTGTATGGTTGACTATGATACTGCAATGTTGGGCGAGAATGAAATAATAATAACACTTTCAACAATTGAACAATGTGCTCCTTAACAATGCTCCTCTCTCTCTAGATCTGCTGCTGCTGGATGGATGGAGAAGTTGTGCCATCCAAAGAGATAGGAGGAAAGTCACACCCTCTGGATAGGAGTAGCTTTTCTCGCATTATTCAATATGCAACGAATTCTCTGGGGAAGAAAGCCCATTTTACATGTGCATGTGTGCCGCATCGCTTTGTTAAAATTTGATTGAGTTGGAATGAATCTGTGCTCGCATTTCGTCCTCATCCTCTTCTGCTCTGCTCCCATTCTGCGATTCAGGTTGTGATTTTTATTTTGTTAAAATGAGAAAGAAATCAGAGATAAAAAAGGAGACGACGAAGAAGATGAGAGAATCCTTGAATTTGTATCATCTTTAAATTATATATGTATGCCTCTTATTCTCCGAGAGCAACATAATTTACGGGTGGTGTTCCCGTACATATATCGCCCTTTCTGACTGACTGCTGTTATCTATCAGGCATGAAGGTCTCCTTCTTTAGAATAATTTTGTGCTAATGTTGATGGAGGAAAATTGAGATTTTATAGAATCTCACATTTTTTGTAGGCTTTTTCAAGGGGAAATTTATTTGAAGCCGAGTAGTTTTGTGAAATCTTAGAAGGGAAATGTTTATGAAATGGAAAGCAGGGCTCGCTTTTTGTTGTGAATTTTTCCTTTCTTTGATAAAAAAGATTGGATGGAAGGTGGATGGATTGAGTGAGTGAGTGACGTATCGTATATCTTTCACAAACAGAATCTCTACTTTTATTTGGTTAGAAGCACAAATCCTAAGTAAGCAAACTTGTGCATCATTCATATGTCCGTCTCCATATTGGGATGCTGAACATGTAAATGTATGTAGGAAAGTTTCCCTCGTTTTTATGCAAATTCTATAAAATATTTCAATCCCCATCATCAAAATAACTTTATTAAGTCCAAAAACTTGACGTGCATGAGAGAGTAAACTTAATCAAGTCAACTCTGATGGTGACTTGTTTGGGATAGATAACAGAATAAAGAAGGAAGAAGACTGGTGTCGTGTCGTGTGGGTCAAAAACATGTCGATTTCTTCCTTTTCTGGGCAAAATGGATCATTGTGAGACTAAAAGGAAGACGAAAAAAGTGGACAGAGAACACCGACATTCTGTCGATGACAATGTCCACAATATTGCCAATAAAGATTCTAATGGGTGGACTTTGTGTCAAAGCATCAATAGTGGGCCAAAGTTACTCCGTTCTGCTCAAAGAAAGAAAGAAACTCCGAGAAAGGAGTTTTGTTGGGGATGCGAGGCTTCTTCTTTTCCTCCTCAAAAAGGATACAAATAATGAGGATATTTTAGCTTTATTGCATTACATTTTATCGCATTATGTAATCCATTAGTCACTTTAGTTTGTGTAATCCTTCGGCATGCATGATCAGTCGTTTTATGTAAATGGAAATGGACAACAACCGCGCAGTCAATACGAGTCCACAACAATGTATAAACTTGTCTCAACTTTTATAGTTTCGATCATATCAGTTTTTAGAAGGACATGTGAACCTCCCACTTGGACAAGACTAATAATTCCTGATTGTACTATAGCCTGTAATAATGAAACTTTCTCCATTTGAGCCCAAAACTGGTAGTCAGTGGTGGTAGTTGATGGGCCATATTTTTTGCATAATGTTTGCCAGATTTTAATCCAGCATGTATGGAAAGATAAACGATAAATGCAGCCGTCCCAGCGAGTCCTCCTACCTACCCTTTTGACTCTTAGAATTTGATAAAAGCTATTAATTGTTATGATTAATGGTCTGATTATGCAGCATTGGTCAAGTGGTCGGGCTACCATTGAATGAAATTGTCGTGGTATTGTGTGTCATAGTCATGTCATGTCACTTTTTCTCTGACTGGACACAACTTTTCCATACCATTTATCATTTGGGGGGGACGACGCGAATTTGTGAGCTAAGTGGTAAAAGCACTAAAGTGAGGCGTGTCGAGCCGGATATATACATTTGGCTGTTAAGAGATACATTTTTGATTGTGTGTAACTCTCCAACACAAAGACGAAACTCAGACCAAAATCTAAAACCACAAGTTGGCAAGTCGGGATGAATGGTGGGGACAGAGGACTTTGAAGCGATGAGATGAGACGCATCATGCTCGAGTCGCATTGTTGTTTGCCTCATTTGTAATGCATGACAAATGGTATCGAATTTATATGTCTTTAAAATAAATAAATTAAGTTGGGGTTGTTTGTGTCAAGGATGATTTATCACTGGGCTGAAATGGTCTTAATTACAAAAAGGAAAGAAATGTGCGATAATTACTGGATTTGCTTATCTTCATAATATGTACGTAGATTTATGCTTCCCATTAAGCTCTAGGTTTTGCTATTATCGAGTAGTAGATTATGATGGATATGTACGTACCCTTCTTACCTTTATGAATGTTAAGGTCAAAAAAAAGTACACCTAAACAAACAAAATATTTAGTTTAGTTGAAAAAAAAACTGTAATTGAAGTTTAGTACTTACAATTCATTAAGAGTTTCTTGAGAAAATTGTTACCTGAATTTTTTGAAAATTTGTAATTTCTATCACCAATTTCCACGCAATTTCTTCTCAAAACAAAATGAGTACCAGTGTTGCGTTGAAGAAAGAAACAGAAACGACGACATGTGGCTATTGTAATACACAAAATTCTGTGTTTGTAATGTGTGTCGGCTATCATTTGGCGTGCCAAGCGTGTCGAGATGAATTTAGAATTTGTCCGATTTGTTTCGGGGACTATTTGCCATTTGACGATGTGCGTATGAAGACTATGGTCAAGCCGGATGGAAAGGCTCCGAATAAGATGAATATCAACCCTGCAAGGATTCGAAGTGTAGCACCCATCGTACAAAGTGCAAGTAAGAGAAAGCAGAAATTTTACAAATTCCGTACTTCAAAAAAAGAGATTCAGTTTATTTTTTCAAAAAATTCTAGCATACGTCGAGAGAAAGAAGGCAATTGATAAGTGCAAACATAATTTTTTCATGGGCGTTTGCGATAGCGTGATTAGTTCTCTGCTTTCTCCGAGGAGTACATCATTCCGTCAGTTTTTAGGATCAACAATTGCAAAGTGAGAAATTTTGAGCTGAATTTTAAACTATGTACGTAATAACATCAAACTGAGGATGAGCTAAAAACATTTCTTGATTTTATATCGTATTAGGATTGGAAGACGAATGGGAAGATCACTGCTGAACGTGGCTGCCGTAAGTAACAAGGCATCAGCTATTTTCCCCACAAGTATTGGACTCTTATTGTTACTCATTATTTCACAAATTTCCATTAAGAAGGGATGGAAAATTTCGGCCATTAAGCCCACCACTAAACGAGGATAGATATTTTCTGCTCTATGTTCTTGATTGTTCTGTTTTGTTCTGTGTTTCTGGTCGTGTTCTTAAAATTCTTGTTTAATATAATTAAGCGAATCTACTATATAAAGTCATTGCTCAAATTAAAACTATCAACAAAGTGATACAAATTTGTACTCAAATTCAGAAAGTATTTTCATAAAATAGTTTTCTAAATGAAATTGTTCCATTTGTTTCACAATTTTATTCTTAATCTCGATGAAAGCATAAAGTTTTGGATAATGATGATTTCCATGAAAGAATTCCTACTCCTCCATATTTCCATCCGAGTCCCGAATTATTCGGATGAACAATTGGCAGCAAAATATGTACAACAACCCCTGCGTGCTGTATCCAATTCGGGACAAAAGTAGAAGTGCATAGATCTCTGCTGATTCAATTCACCACATTGTTGACGTGGTTGTGTAGGATTCACTCAGCCTCAAGTTGCTTATTGCTACTTATGCCATTCAATCTCGCATGCAACCAAAACCCGAGGTTTGAAAGGTGAGGACACAATGGTGGACAAAACGGGGAGGATGACATGCGGGTATGAGCACACATTCAGTAATATTATCCCCGTAACAAGAGATCTATGTATGCGGAGGGAATGGAATGATTGTGCAAAATTTGTTGGAAGAAGCTTTTGCTTCTGTCCCATAATAAATTATTATGACATGTCACCATACGAATGGGATGGATCGCATCTCTCTCGCCTAAATAGATGATGGGACGCCACCACTCAACTCATCCTTCCATCGGCGTCCCACCACCACCACCAGTGATAAATGACATCAAAAGTGTCTTCCAATTCTTCGCCCAAGAGAAGGTGCGGATTGTACGTGTCAGATTCAAAATGAGGAAATGTAATAAATGAAAATTGTGAAAGAGAGAAAACTGATACTTTTTGGGGAGAATATTATCCTGAATATTTAGAAATGCACGTATGTATCAACTCTGGAATTCTATTTCTAAACACCGTGAAATAAATATTCTATGAAAATTACCTTATTTGGTCGATTATTATTGCGACAAAATGAAATAAGCTAGGTTGCAAAGCCGTATGCGCCCACTCGATTCTAGTCGAAAGTTATATAAGGACTTCGGTGTCTGTTTTACTGGACCGTTTTACTGGAGCATGGAGTGCTTTCAGTGCTTTGTTGATTTTTAAGAGAAGTCCCGACTCTCCAGTGTCCACTCCTTTACGGACTTTTATGGAATTTTAAATGTTTTGAATCATCATCATCATCCCAGCAGCATACGCACATACACGTTTAGAGATGACACTTCCCTCCACCAACACCACCACAAACCTTAATTAAGCCCAATAGAGTCGAAGTAGTTTAAGAATTTAAATATAAATTCAACCCTGATCTCTTGGTCTCAAATCTTTAAGGCGGATCAAACCACCACCTTGGTTCATAGCCTTACATGTTATGGATCATCATCATCATCACGGACTAGAAGAGACTAATGGATGTGGCTTCAAGGACCGCATGGAGCGTGAACAATCAACCAGAAATGTTGAATCGTTTCAAATCTCTCTCAAGGGACGACGTGATATGGACCAAATGGAATAAAATCCGTGTCAAAAGTCACTGTAAATTGTGCAGGGGTTGACAATACCAGGTGACACCTTAGGCTTATACACATACATTTCCAAGGGTGGACCAGTCTCAGAAATCAAATCTGCAGAGAGAGCTCACGTGTATATTACGTAAGTTTGTATGTCGGTCTCTCTTTAAAACATTTTATAGGACTTCTTATTCTCGGATTAGATGCTATTTATCACCTATGGCTCATCTACCCCCAACTGGTCTTACATTACGTTACTTGCAATGCTGGATGGCATTTTTGATTCATCTAATCTTGGTCTCCTTACCGTGGCCAAATCTAATTTATTGTTGACATTGTCCAGCCTCTTCCTCTTGATTGTGCTTTCCCTTCGGGTCGTCTCCTGTTCCCCTTGAATCAGGATAATGCAGCTTTTTAACCGACATTGTCCCCAAAGAATGCTGCGCTGGACACTTGTGCTGCTGCTGTTGGGAAGCTGACTGAGGTAATCCTTTGTCAGATTGGAGAATGCATACAATTGTGCTGCATTTATTATTATAATGTTCAACCAGTTTAGTGTTGTTGTAAATCAGCGAATGATGGCGTTTCTTCTTCGATAATATAATCGCCATCGTGTGTAAAATGCATATTTTTGTGTCCGTCTGGTTCTCAGGTTTTAGGTCACCACTTGCAGTTGGAATTCTAAATATCCTGCTCCTCTTGACTGCTTCAGATTAACAAATAGTCGAGATGTCATAGATGTTATTTTTTTATAGTAAAATGCCGCAATAAGGCTGTGGCTGGCTATACCTATTCCTCGTTAATATTTATGCACCTCACTCAACTTGACTGCATATTGGATTGGATTGTCAAGTAGATCGCGGAGCAATTTAGTTAGATACTCACCTCGAGTGGTTAAAGATTTGCAAGTCAAGAGCACATGTTCATATGGATGCATGCAATGCGTTCTGTTTTGACAAATTGAGATGCAACTGGCAAAGGATCTCAACAATGGGAAAGAATTGCTCATTTCCCACGGTCTCACGTATGCATGGTAAAAAATGCATCCTTTTCCAACTTCAAACCCCCATTTGCATGCCTGGCCTGCTTGCTTTCCTGTGAAGTGAACACTTGTGAAAACTTTTTGGTCAAGTGGACGACGAGTCAAAGGTGAGAAATTGTTGGGCCATTTATTCTGCGGCACAAATCTTGTGAATTCCACTCAAAATTTTTGAGATGATTAAACTTTTAGTGAAACCATTTCTCACGTTTCAACGTACACCTCAAGGATTAGCAGATGAATTAAAATTTGATGCCATTTTGAAACTTATGTATCATGTAAAAAATATTGTTTAAAGATGTCAATTTCAAATCGATCAATGCATAAAGTCTTTTAATAATATGCATAACAATGAAAAACGTTTGTTGCCGACATAAATAAATAATTTTAAAATGTACAATTATGCAGCTTATCTCCACTGTCTGGGGGGTTGTTTAATTAAAACTCGTGACATTTGATACCATATCGCCTCCCTGCATCATTGGATTAATCCATCCATAATAAATTCAAACAAATTCTTCCATTCAATGGGCATACCTTCTCCTGAACGTGAGGCACAATACTTGTGACGGTCATTACATAATAATTGTACTCTTAACAATTGACAATGCCCAGTGTAAAATTCAACTCTGATAATGAAACCATTCGAAAATTGACAATGCGATTTCATGGGAATTTTAATCATTGGCTAGGAAAAAAGTCCTCTCTTTGTGTCAAGTTTGTGTTGACGGTTTAAAAATTTGATTCATTTGTCAATCTTCTGTAACATCTTTGTTATTTGATATCGAAAAGAATAATGATTTTGATATATGATGCAAGCCAATATCGCATTTTTTTTAATGATGGCAGAGGAGAGATGAAGGTTCAATAAGTCGAAATGTTTGCATTTATAGATTTGATTGGCATCTGTTGCATTTCCAATTCGATGAAGGAGACCCGATGCAATAAACTTAGAATTTTTAAAGTAGATAAAAAAGTGAACCGATTTTAATACGAGAAAGTAAAACAGATGGGAACATATCAAACTAAGAAATTTTCGTTTTTTACACCTTCCTAGTGTTGATCTGCATGTTGGCTGGTGTGTAATTGAATGTAACTATTTGTACCTTGTTAAATAATAAACAACTAATCCACCATTTTATGACCTAATCTGCAATCAAGGTTAAAAATAGTTCGAATAAAATAAACAAGTTGAAATGATCTCTTCCACTGTTTCTACTGTATCTCGGCACAATACGTAATGATCTCGGCTCGTTCTTTCACTTATGGTTTTGAAATTTTGTTTTATTTTTTGTTTTTGTAAGCACAAAGCCATAAAATCGGTGCACCTCAGATCAGCCATAAAATATACGCGAGTAGGTACATATTCTTAACTTTTCTACTTCGTTGTAAATATTTCTTCACGTTGTAAACTAGATTAATATAACTTATACAGTAGAAATTATGGTCCTCTTCTTAGGTAAAACCGATTTCTGTGCAGGTCGGTAGCCACCTTTGTCCAGCCTACCTACTGAATAAGTTAATTGTTTTATTCGAGTTGTAAAGTGGTAGGAGTTGTAATAATAAGTGTAAACAATTGAGAATAATATAGCTTTGGGTGGACCATATATAGTAAATTGTAGGATGCAGTATGTATGTACTAATAGTAGTCGGGTGCACTTGAGCTACGGGTGTTTTATTAGTTGGTTGCATTGCACCCATCCCAGTTTTGTTGGTGGATTAAGCAATAAATTTATTAATTCCATCTTTACCTGAAAGAAGCATAAGGGACGATTTGACCATCCCAACATTTTATGACTTTTATGACTGACAGTTACTGACTTTACTAACCAGCAAACCCAACGCCAACGTCATTTGGTGGAGGAGAGATGTACATATGTAGTACAATGATAATCAAAGTCTTGTCATTTCTTAGTTGAGATTTTTATAACTAATAAAAATTCTTAAACGAGAAGAAGCACTATTTGGGTGTTAAAAGTGGTGCTACTAAAATTAGGATGAGATCATCAAATATATGCACATATTTAAGAGTTAAATCTTGAAATATAGAAGACACGCATATTGAAATGCATGTACATACTTTTTGACAATTTATGGGTGACACTACTCCACGACATTTAAATTTTAATTATGTATGCAGATCTGAATTTCCCAGCAACCCACTTGTCCACATTTTGATCTGGGTTTCTCTATTAATAAACATTTGTGGGTCGCAGCACATCGAACCTTGTACGGCTTCAAAAAGTCCTCCTCCTTTAAACAATTCGACTAAATAGGCAGTTGGCCATTTGTTTTCTCAACTCATTATTCCACTACACACACAACATCAGCATTCACTCGTCGTTCACGGATCCCCTGAGCAAAACCCTTGAGAGTTGAGGATGAAAGCTCTTGAATATTATGATAAGTGGTGTTCCCTGGCTGTGAACTGAAGCCACTTATTTATGACTTTTTAAGGTGACATAAATAGGATCAAATCTGGTCGTAAGAAGTCAAGCGAAAAATTAAAACATTTCGATTTTTACAAGCCAGAGGAACTTTCCCATTGGGGTTTGTTCTGCATAAGTA